GTCCCCAAACCGTACTCTCAGCGCTTGTTCAATCGGATCGAATCCATATCCAGTTCCCTCCACTGCATATTTGTGGAGTGATAGGTTGTTGGTTGGCTCGTTGTCAGTCATTCAGTCAGCCAGCCAGCCAGCCAGCCAGCCAGCCAGCCAGCCAGCCAGCCAGCCAGCCAGCCAGCCAGCCAGCCAGCCAGCCAGCCAGCCAGCCAGCCAGCCAGCCAGCCAGCCAGCCAGCCAGCCAGCCAGCCAGCCAGCCAGCCAGCCAGCCAGCCAGCCAGCCAGCCAGCCAGCCAGCCAGCTAGCCAGCCAGCCAGCCAGCCAGCCAGCCAGCCAGCCAGCCAGCAGCCAGCCAGCCAGCCAGCCAGCCAGCCAGCCAGCCAGCCAGCCAGTCAGTCAGCCAGCAAGCCAGCCAGTCAGTCAGCCAGCAAGCCAGCCAGTCAAACAACCAATCAGCCACAGTTTCTCCTCGCTTATTCTTATTATTCTCACCATCTGATCTCCAGCTTCACTATCCAGTGGGCATACGAGGCACCTGTTCACCTATGTCTACAGCTTCCTGGAAATGCTTTTCGTAACTCGCCAACTCTCTCAACCTCACATGGAAGCACTGACTGACTGACTGACTGACTTGACTGACATTAGTGTTGAGATTTTGTATCTCGTTCACGCTTTACGCTGAGTGCAGTTCAGTTCAATTCAGTTCAGTGCAGTAGATCTCCACACTGATGATTTCAGATTAACGCAGAAAGGCTTGTCTCGCCGTCTTTCCGATCCTGGCTGCTGTGACATCCTCATCTGTGCCGCCTCCGCCCCCTCCTGTAGTTGAAATGATGCTGCCCTGCCTAGGAAGGTGTAAGTGAAAGAGACTACTTACTTCACATTTCTCCCGTTCATGGCGATTGGTGCTTGTCGTTGTTGTTACCTCAATCACCATCACTTTTCGACAGACGGACACATAGACGTGCAGAGTATCGGAGAGACATACATGCATGTTGAACTGAGGTGTGCAGATGTGAAGGAAGCGTACAAATGCACATCGAGGGGGTTATTCCGCATACCTGTGATCGCCACTCACTAGTCGGATTGAAAGGAAGTATGCGTGAGGTCAAGGCATTGGTGTACTAATGCACCAGGCTGACTGTCATATCTCATACTGAGTGGCTAGTGTGGAGGGGAAAACTTCGTCAGTATGCATATACTACTTACACAACTGATATCACCAACTGTGAATTAGTGGAGAGGAAGTCGACAGTTCGAATGGAATCGGAGCATTTACAGATGAGGGTTTTGGTTGAGCATGGTTACTTATTACTGGGATGATGTGGAAGGTGATCAGTGTGGAGATGTGCAAATGATATATTTTTCTACAGTGTCTGGTGTTGAGTTCAGGCTAAGAAGGAGTGACCCGATGGGACTGGTTGTCGCGACCCGGAGATTGCTTCGGAGTCCTGGTGTCTGAGAGTGCATTACACAGTCACTCATCTGCTCTGGGAGAACTCCCCGGGCTTTGGGCAGAGAGTGTCGTCCGTTGAATGCGGGCTTCCCACTCAGTCTCCTCGCCAAATCTGCGGAGAGGCACTGCGCTGTACTGTACAGTGGTGCAGTGCAGTGTAGTGCTGAGTAGACGGCCTGGTTGGGTGGGCGCTAGCCTCAGGTGTACAGTTATCCGTCTCTCCTCACAATGGGGGTCACGGGGCGCGACAACCTTTACATACCACCAACACGCAACACACCACTCGATGTCACACAGCCTGCACACACCTCCACAACCCCGCAATATGCTAAGCACCTGCAACTACAACTGGCTCTCTAAACACGCAGCAGTCGAGTTTACTAGCCACCAAGGCAGAGCACATCACACCATGGCAATTCTACCCACTTGCTCATGGAAACATCAATCTCTCTTCGCTTCACCTGGTAGGCAGGCAAACCGTCTCCTAGTCCCACCCTCAGTGCTTTCTTCCATCTACAGCAGTGTTGATCACCGTGTGGGGTTCGCGCCTGCTTCTACATCCACCACTACCAGCTCCACCTACATACATATACACACACACACACACACACATCCACTCAATCCCAAATGCGTACACAACCTCTGTAATCCACTAGACTCCAGTGTTGGTAGCACATTCTATTCACATACTATCAGTCATCTACACAGTCCCTATTTTTATTAATATTATTTATCCCCTGGGGTTCCTAGTGGAACATAGGGCTTCAGTAACACCTCACCATTTCACTTTCTTCTCTCCAGTCTTCTCAACCTGGCTCCACGACTACCCACAAACTCTCATTCCTTCCTCAAACGATCTCCTCCATGTCACCATCAGCTGGGACGTCCAACACGTCGTTTCCCATTTGAGTTCCACTCGATGGTCTGACCTGACGTGGCGCGTGATGTCCCCAAACCGTACTCTCAGCGCTTGTTCAATCGGATCGAATCCATATCCAGTTCCCTCCACTGCATATTTGTGGAGTGATAGGTTGTTGGTTGGCTCGTTGTCAGTCATTCAGTCAGCCAGCCAGCCAGCCAGCCAGCCAGTCAGTCAGTCAGTCAGCCAGCAAGCCAGCCAGTCAAACAACCAATCAGCCACAGTTTCTCCTCGCTTATTCTTATTATTCTCACCATCTGATCTCCAGCTTCACTATCCAGTGGGCATACGAGGCACCTGTTCACCTATGTCTACAGCTTCCTGGAAATGCTTTTCGTAACTCGCCAACTCTCTCAACCTCACATGGAAGCACTGACTGACTGACTGACTGACTTGACTGACATTAGTGTTGAGATTTTGTATCTCGTTCACGCTTTACGCTGAGTGCAGTTCAGTTCAATTCAGTTCAGTGCAGTAGATCTCCACACTGATGATTTCAGATTAACGCAGAAAGGCTTGTCTCGCCGTCTTTCCGATCCTGGCTGCTGTGACATCCTCATCTGTGCCGCCTCCGCCCCCTCCTGTAGTTGAAACGATGCTGCCCTGCCTAGGAAGGTGTAAGTGAAAGAGACTACTTACTTCACATTTCTCCCGTTCATGGCGATTGGTGCTTGTCGTTGTTGTTACCTCAATCACCATCACTTTTCGACAGACGGACACATAGACGTGCAGAGTATCGGAGAGACATACATGCATGTTGAACTGAGGTGTGCAGATGTGAAGGAAGCGTACAAATGCACATCGAGGGGGTTATTCCGCATACCTGTGATCGCCACTCACTAGTCGGATTGAAAGGAAGTATGCGTGAGGTCAAGGCATTGGTGTACTAATGCACCAGGCTGACTGTCATATCTCATACTGAGTGGCTAGTGTGGAGGGGAAAACTTCGTCAGTATGCATATACTACTTACACAACTGATATCACCAACTGTGAATTAGTGGAGAGGAAGTCGACAGTTCGAATGGAATCGGAGCATTTACAGATGAGGGTTTTGGTTGAGCATGGTTACTTATTACTGGGATGATGTGGAAGGTGATCAGTGTGGAGATGTGCAAATGATATATTTTTCTACAGTGTCTGGTGTTGAGTTCAGGCTAAGAAGGAGTGACCCGATGGGACTGGTTGTCGCGACCCGGAGATTGCTTCGGAGTCCTGGTGTCTGAGAGTGCATTACACAGTCACTCATCTGCTCTGGGAGAACTCCCCGGGCTTTGGGCAGAGAGTGTCGTCCGTTGAATGCGGGCTTCCCACTCAGTCTCCTCGCCAAATCTGCGGAGAGGCACTGCGCTGTACTGTACAGTGGTGCAGTGCAGTGTAGTGCTGAGTAGACGGCCTGGTTGGGTGGGCGCTAGCCTCAGGTGTACAGTTATCCGTCTCTCCTCACAATGGGGGTCACGGGGCGCGACAACCTTTACATACCACCAACACGCAACACACCACTCGATGTCACACAGCCTGCACACACCTCCACAACCCCGCAATATGCTAAGCACCTGCAACTACAACTGGCTCTCTAAACACGCAGCAGTCGAGTTTACTAGCCACCAAGACAGAGCACATCACACCATGGCAATTCTACCCAGCTGCTGTTGTAAACGTCGTGGGTGTCTTCTTTTCGTCTGGGAATAGCACTTTGTGTTATTTGCGTTTTGGTGCGTAGTTTTTCGTGTTGCTATTTCCTGTTTCCGTGCTGATTTCGTATTTTCGGTATTCTATAAACGGAGTGTTTTTTTCTGGTTTAACTTTTTTGATTTTAGGGTATGTTTGTTGAATGATTGCGTATTGCAACATTATTTAGTTCCGTGTTTTTGTGTGTGTGTGTGTGTGTGTGCAGTTAGAGTACTTTCATGAGCTTAAGGTGGTTGTCTGGTGATTGAGTTGGGGTATATTATCTACAGTGACATCTTTCTAGCTTAGTAATGTAATCATTTCCCAATACTCATCCATATGTTTGTGGTGAGATATTTGACTTTTATCGGATTTAATCAATTGAGAATCAGTCTTTTGATATTGTTAATTCTTCTGTCTGTTTTCTGTGAATGTATAAACAGCAGGAGATGCTTTAAAATTAGAAATTCACGTTATAAAATGTGGTAGGGTACACTATCAAATAACACAAAATATCAGTATGTTAGGGTATAACGCTAGACTACTGATTAGGGAGATTAAGTAGTACGATTTAAACAAAGGAAACTTGTTAATAACAGTACTGATATTCCTGAAGAGAACTTGACTGGCATAAGTTGGCACGACAGCAACATCCATAATGAAAAAAGCTAGCATAATATTCATAATAATAATAATAATAATAATAATAATAATAATAGTAATAACGAAGCACAGTGTAGCAATAAGACTGGACTGGTGCATCAAACTATGGAAAATATAAAAGGGAATAATTTGTAATCCATCAGAAAAGATAGGTTTCAACAAAGAAATTCACTAACATAGAATGGTAAAGAAGACTATTATTTTCCAGTGTATTACATATATATATATATATATATATATATATATATATATATATATATATATATATATATATATATATATATATTCTATTAATGATATTTTTGTGGCACACCGAAATAACTATCTGATAGACAAATTGATACAAATATACACGTATAAAGGTTTTTAGAAATATTCATTGCATCATATGATTAGCATACTGTAAAGTGTTACCTAGAAATGCTAGAATTCTGTATTTTGATTGGATTACAATATTAAGAGTAAAATTAAGCAAAGATAATCAATGAATAAGGTCGAAAAGTGAATAAGCATTTGATTGGTTAACTGTTTGATAAATTGACTGAGTGATTCAAGGTAGGGAATGAGGGAGAAAATGATATAAGTGATATATTTGTAGAAAAGTTAACAAGTAACTAATCGTTATAACAAATAAAAGCCTATTAGAAACAGAAAAGAAAAATGCATTTTTTCTATTATTTAGAAACAGAAATAAGCAAAGAGACCTGAAATGTCTTTGAAAAATGCTTCCTCTTCTTATCAATAAGTATTATAAACATTTGTTTCAAATAAAAAAGGAAGAAATTATTTACACCTTAAAATTCCACCACTATACATTGTTAATCACAATTCATCAGTATAGATAGATGAGATGAATAAAATTTGATCATATTCTGAGGATATACCTGTGAAATTGAAAATAAATAATTTACAAAAAACAAATAAGATTTAGTATATATACAAAGACACAAATACTACTCTAATCAGTCGTCAAGCTATGAAAGGTTATTTTTTTGTCTACATCTTCATGTTACTGACATATAGTATAAATAAGTAGTATATCTGGCTGATGAGTCCCAATAGAGGACGAAACTCACCGCCTGAATTCTGCTGTCAGCATCTATTCACCCCTTATGAGTAGCATAGTCAATTAACTATCACAATTCAAAAAGCATGATATGTCTTTTGAGGATATGAATAGTAGATTATAAGAATAGTGTTCAAAGTGAACTTAGATTTTCTTCGAAATACTCGCTGAGAACGTTTGTTAGTTGTACGAATCAGTTACTGTCATCACATGAATAAAATGATGAAAAAGTATACAGATTTAAGTTTTCTGTCAACCATTTAACCATGAACTATAATCTTTACAGAGGTGAATGAAAACTCATTATTTCTGCCGTTTGGGGATATCCTTGGTAAATGGATACCGTTCTGTATACAGTTGAAAACGATATCCATCCAAATTTCAATCGTTTTACGTTATTTGATATTCAACAACAGCCCAGTTATTACAGTCTGTCATTTTTTATTACAATATGCGAATAAAACACTTTTCCTGTGGTATAACCATTTAACTGAATTCAACTTGCTAACTGCTTTTCATACCATCCTTTTTAAAAATATCCTAACCCTGTGTAATCAACCAGTCGGAAGTGAAATGGTTATTAACTGAAGACATTAGTGCATAGTCGCCTTATTTTGTGAATTAACAAAAATAGGAAACTGTGGACCATTAAACTTTAATCTAGTGGCTGAATGATTATGGCTATGAGACCTAAAAATCCTGAGTTCGACCCCCGTCGGACCGTGGGTGCATCCCTCTGAAAAGTCCCACACTAAGATGAAACAACTGCCCATCGCTTGCCAGTTTCCAACGGTTCTCTGATTGATATCAGTGCATCATTATTACTATGTCACATATATTTCTTTGAGAACGACATTGTGGATGTATTATCCTTCCAATTTTTTAGTTCAATTATGTTAGTATAACTTATATGTATTTGTGATGCTCTATATCATTTTCACCACTTTTCTGTCTCTCACCTGTCTGTTCAAACATGACTTGATTAAATGTCAAAAGTTTAATACATTCTCTGGATCCTTGTAATTTTTGTTTACTATTGTACTGAATAGAGATGATCGGTCCTTGAACAGAAGCAAAGATATTACTCCAAGCTTAAGTTTGATGTTATTTGCTTAGCAGTGGTTAGTAGCGGAATAGAGGATGCGGATTCCGTCATATTTTGGACTCATCATCTGGATACACATGCATACGACTGAGTGGTGCTGCTCCTACCGAGACTCGAACCCAGTGACTATTGTTTGAAGCGATCAGTCGCAGTGGATAATTAGTTTGTAAGAATCGATTGTTTTCTTAATTTGGAGGTAAAACGTACTGTCAACAGATATCAATTGTTTTCCAGGATAGTTGTTATATGTATATCTTTCTTCCATAAAAACAAATTCACCTTTATCTACAGGATGTATTTACGATAAATTATTATTATTTGTCCCTTGGGTTCCTAGTAGAACATACGGTTTCAGTAGCACGTCACTATTTCACTCTCTTCTCTCCAATCTTCTTAACCTGGCTCCACAATTGCCCACAAGCTTTCATTTCTTCTTCACATGATTTCCTCCGTGTTACCCTCAGCTGTGATACCCAAATCATTGTTTCCCAGTTGCGTTCCACTCCACAAACTGGCCTTGCCTGGCGCGTGATGTCTACAAACCGTCTTCTCTGTGTTTGTTTATTCCAATCCAATCCATGTCCACTGCCTTCTTCTGTATTTTTGTTGGGTGATGAGTTCTTCGTTGGTTCGCTGCCGGCCAGTCAGAGTTCCTTGCTGCTTTTCCTATTATTCTGGCCATCTGATCTTCATCTTCACAATCAAGTGGATGTAAGCGGCACCCGTTCATCTACGTCTGTAGTTTGTTGGAAATGCTTTTCGTAACGCGCCAACTCTCTCAACCATGACATAGAAGCACTGACTGAATTGACTGACACTAGTATTGAACATCGAATCTTGTTCACGCTTTATGCTGAGCAGAGTGGAATGCAGTGCAGTAGATCTCCACACTGATCTCAGGTTAATGTAGACCTGTCTTGCTGTTTTTTCGATCCTGGCTGTTGTAACATCCTCATCTGTGCCACCTGTAGCTGAAACGATGTTGCCTAGTTGGGTGAAAAAGACTACTTCTTTTTTTATATTTCGCCTGTACATGGTGATTGGTGCTTGTAGTTGTTGCTGTTGTTGGTTGGATATCCTCATCACCTCTGTCTTCTCTACATTCACTTGAAGTCCCATCTTCACTGCCTCGCTTATTCTGCCAACCTGTTGGTTTTTGCCTGTAGATCTTCGAGTTTGTGCGACATTAAACGTAGATCGTCGACGAAATCCAAATCTTCCAATGTCTTTTATTGGTCCAGCCTATGCCCCTCTTCTCGCTCCTCATTTATGATAAATACGAGTTTACAAAGAGTATAAATATAAATAGGTCAACTGACTTGATTGTACTAAAAAAAATATACGACACAAAACTGTCACAACTTTCTAGTCTCGTTGCTAATAATACTCTTGAGTTTAAGCCTATAGATATTGGAATTAGCTCTCAGTGTTGACAACTTTATATCCTCTGCCAGATAACAGATGTTGATATTCAGTCATAGTTGGAATGAAATAAGAAACAATTATTGTAATGTACTTTGAGGTTTATGGGAATTCATCACAGACTGAAATAAGTTGGAGGACTATTGAAAAAAAACCTGGGAGCACTGGATACCTTCTTCATCATGGTGTGGAACCCCTCAACAGTATGCAACCATGACCCTGCCTTGCCAGTGATCGAATTCAGGACCTTCAGATTCCATAGCGAATGCGTCGGGTCGGTGATGCTCAATGGTCTACACTTTCCTACTCCTGACATGGTACGACTATCCAACAGTTTTCAGTTGGTATCCGTTTCACTTCCGACTAGTTCACCCTACTGATTACGGATTCTCACTGAAATTAAAAAAAAAACTTTGATCATGAATGGAATGTTGTAGTTCTAAGCCACTTAGCGGTGTCATCCCGCAGCTCGCTCAACAGACAACGTAATCTAGAATCGACTAGTCTGAATCCAACCATGATTCATGCTTTTACAACACTGATCAATGGTTTTCTTTTTCAAAAATAATATAAATTTGCTAAGAAAATATGAAGAGAAAATCATTTACAGCTTACTGTTTACCTAATAAATTTTTTCCCCTGTGAATTTATTGGAGTTGTCAATGCAAAGTTAAACAATTTCATGCTAAAAACTTAGTACATGTAATCCATTGCTTAGAGATCATTATTACTTGGATGAAAGAGCAACAGGAGTACGTGAACGATGTTTAATATGAAAATTTATTGCAGATAAAGTTGGTTTTTTGAATTTTTGTCGTCTGGTCAATAAAAATTCACCATTATGATTAATATGTTGACTTTTCTGTTGTGTTTGTTGTTGAAGATGATGTTGTAGATCAGGAGGAAGACGATGAAGATATCTAATATTAGTCGATGTAACCATTGATGGTAAAGTAATCTGATGATGTTTTACAATCTTATTATCATATTCACTATCATGTATCATCTCTTCTTCTTCTTCTTCGTCTCCTTCTTCGACTGTTATCGTTTTTTTAGGATTTGATAAGGAATTAATTTTATTTGATTGAAATGTTTTCAAAAAACGTTGATAACTGAATGAAGATTTCCCATTTAATTTTGTACGATTTCTTTCATTTTTACACATATCTGTTGTATTCAACAGTACTGGTGATGAAGATGATGAAGATGGTGGAGGCGGTGGTGGTGGAGGGGGTTGTGTCTTCATTTCTTCCAGTGAAAAAGTTGACTGTTGACTAATAAGACGAGCAAATACCTTATAAGTTAACAACTGATTAGCTGTTGGACGATCAGTTGGATTACGTGCAAAACATGCGTCTAGTACTGTGATAAGATCAGTAGTCAAATCTTTTGGATATGTTGGTGGTGAATTAGAAGTGGCAATCTGAAACATTGATAAAGGAAAGGAATTCATACGTGAATCAATCAACCAGCAGGTAAACAAATAAACATCATTACTAAGATAATAATAATAATAAGAAATCGAATTGGGATGCTCTCAGTAATCTTGTGCACATCCCTGAAGTGGGCAATGAGCTACACTAATTGTATGAAGGTTAATGATACTACCTGGCTGCACAGACCTTGGTAAATAGAACATAGTTCGAACTCATGACCAATCGATTGGTAGTCAACTGCCTAAACCAATGACCCCTAGCTCTATAATAATGGGAAATAGTAAATCATACTGAACTAATCCATTACCTCCATGTGGACTCAAAGAGATAGGTGGAACGAATCTACCTACGTTATTAGTCGTTTAGACTGTAGACTTATTCTTCTCTCTAAGTGGCATAGAAACCATCCTCATAACACTATGCTTCTCCTTGTTTTAACTAACTCCTGATTGGAGAATAAAGCTCAACCGAAGTATAAAGAACATAAAAGCTAAACATTATTGATTCCACTGACAGAGATAAAAACTTCTCTGCACTTACAAGTATCCGTAGTATCTACACAGAACTTTAAGAAATAAATGTTGCTTAAAACGAAAGAAACATTACACTTGTTTCATATTCTACTTTTATCTAGTCAGTCAGTTACAGAATCCCTTGGAAAGTTATTAACTAGGAGGAAATGTATGTTATCAATTGAACGACACTGATCTCCAATGAAAGTATGTGTCCTCAACAAATTGAAAACTAATCGTAGGTATGTGTGTTTATGTGTAAGCAGTGCAATTTGAAATATGAGAGTATATATGAAAGTAGTAAACTTTTTAAAAATATATTTATTGAATCCTTTTACAATTGTATGCATACACTTACAGTGTACATCAGAGCATAACGATTTGTCAGTCTAGCATCATGCCATGGTGGTTTACTGGTAAGCATTTCAATGAGACAACATCCAACTGACCAGATATCACAAGCTCTACCATATGTTTCACCACGAAGTACCTAGATAAAGTTATAGAAAGATAAAAAGTAGTTGTGTTCTAATCGAAAAAGAACACTAACGATAATAATGTGAATAAAAGAACTTCTTTTAGAACTAAGTTGGTAGCTCTGTGCAAGGTGTATCTACAAACTTTATGGAAGTGATATCCCGCCTGAAATTCAAACCCGCGTCACTGAGTGCTCCTGATCGGAGACATTACCACTGAGCTATTTAGGTCGCGATTGACTTGCTGTAGGACAGGATGCGGCAGACTGATTGGTCACTGGAGGGTAACCCACTTCTTCATGTTGTCTGGTCCAAAGTGCAAATTGAGTCCTACCGACCATTTTGCAAAGTGGCCACCAGACTAGGCGACTGACTGTCATGATGCCCTGAAAAAGATGGATGGAGGCATTCGACAGGAAGCAGGATTGTAAACGCATGTCTATTTTCATCTACTACATGGCAGTAACACAACTGATGCAAAGATGTATTACTAGTGATTTATTGAATGAACGAATGGACAAGCGAAACGTACTCAGGCACCTTGTGCACACCCGTGCAGTGGATAATGAGCCACACCTATTGTGTGAGAGCTAATGATACTACTTGGTTGCCCAAACCTCGGTAGGTGGGGCAAGGCTCGAACCTATGAACCTATGACCACTGAGTTGCAGCTCCACTGTTGGTTTATTATAAATATCCAAACGATACTTCCAGGAATGATGGATAGTGGCTAGCAGTGGGATCCAGGATAAACATTTCGTCCTATTTGAGACTCGTCAGCTGGATGTACCTGCCTCCCAGAGAGTGTTGTTTCCATCAGGATTCGGACTCGGAAGCGATCTCTTCAAACGCCAGAGCGTTATTCACTAGACCACTGATCCATGATACCACTTCTTGTGAGACGGGTATAGTTTCAATATAACTGCTCATGGTTCGGTGGTGTAGTGAATAACGCTCTGGCGTTTGGAGCGATCGGTCTCGAGTCCAAATCCCTGTGGGGACAACATCGCTCACCAGGAGGCAGGTTCATCCAGCTGACGACTCCCAAATCCGAAGAAATGTATATCCTGCATTCCATTGCTATCCACTATCCATCGTTAATACGATTAAAACACAGGTAATGTCGAGGCATTCACACAGGAGACCAAATGTCAATAGAAACCAATCAATTCGAACCAATCAACAACGGTATACTACAAGCAATAATACTGATATTTCCAACAGATATAAGATGATTTGAGATGAAAAAAGAACGAATACTTTAGTGAAAATATCTATTCATAAAGATCTTATTGTATGCACCGGTCGTCATCATTTTTCTTGTTAAAAAGTTTGTTTGTAAGAGTTGAGTGGGAATTTGAGAATGTTTGGGATGCGATTTTCACCACCCAAATGCAAATTTTTGCTCCACGACTGGTCTTCAGCGGTACCACGACTAACAATAGAGAGTGAAGTGGTTGAGTGTGTTGACCACTTCACTTACCTGGGAAGTAGGATCAACCTTGGTGGTTTAGTTGCCGATGAGATCTCTGCACGAATACAGAAAGCTTGGCTTAGTTTTGCCAATTTGCACCACCTATGGCGCCGCCGTCATATCCGTTTGTCTATTAAGGGTCGCGTGTACTGCATAACAGTCCGCTCTGTTCTACGATATGGCTGTGAAACACGGCCACTGAAAGTGGAGGATACAAAAAGGCTTCAGGTGTTTGATCACCGTTGCCTTCGTAATATAGGACATATTCCGTGGTGTCACCATGTGAGTAATGCAGAAGTTAGGTGTAGAGTTTTGGGGAGAAGAGGTAAGTCAGTCGACGAGGTTGTGAAACTTCATCGACTCAGATGGTTGGGACACGTACTACGTATGCCTAGTCACCGATTGCCTTGTCACACAATGTTGGCTGAGGTGGGTTCAGGCTGGAAAAAGGCCCGAGGTGGCCAGACTAAAACATGGCACCAATGTATGAAGTCTCTGACTGTTGGTTTAAGCCATGTAGGACGATGCAGGCTACTAGGTGGTTGGGGTCCGCGGGACAAGAGGAACCACTGGTTGCAGACTCTAGGTGATACGGCTCAGAACCGAAGTCAGTGGAGCAGATGTATACACACATTATCCTCAACTTAACAACGCTATACCGAATCTCACCATTTTGTCACTCCTCTTTTCTTTCTTCTCGTACTTTATATTTCTTTTGACTGCATTCACTTATCTTCATCCTTCACCTCACTACCTTTTTACTTGATGTGCTGATATGAGGTGTGGCAACTCGGACCGTTACTCAGTAATGCCTGGTCCTATGTTGATAATGATGATGATGATGATGATTGTACGAGTTGATGACCACTCTCCATCAATTAACGACAAGACCGTATTACAAATAATTAGTTTCCTTAATGCATTGAATATAACACAATAAATAAGGAAGCCTAATACAGAATAAGGTGAAGTTATTTTATTGCAAAGAATTTCCATCAATCAAATCAATAAGTTAATATTCACTACAATGAATATTAACGTGCCTTATATGCAGCATCCTAAAACACCAATGAGGGATTTGAACATAAGAAATAACATTACAATTCAGAATGTTTTAACATGATATGTAAGTGAATAATACTATTTTCAGTTATGTCTCATCAAGCTTCTCTCTAATATACATAACGTGAGTTATTTTAAAGGCCAACCTAGCAACTGCAACGTAACTAATGACGTTTTTCTGTTTTATGAAAAACTGCCTGCCAAGCCAAAATACCGCAACTAGATTGATTATTTCAGCAGTTGTTGTTAAGGTGACCTTTAAAGTCACTCCACAAATTGCCCGTCTTCATTGGTTGATTATATTATTATTAATATTTATCCCTTGGGTTCCTGATGAAACACGAAGCTTTAGTAGTACCTCGCCATTTCATTCCCTCTTATACACTCATCAACCTGGCTCCACGACTGCTCATAAGCTTTGATTTCTCCCTTACATGGTCGCCACCATGTCACCCTCAGCTGGGACGCCCAACTTGTCGTTTCCCATTTCAGTTCCACTCGATGGCTTGGCCTGACTTGGCGCGTGACGTCCCCAGTCGATCTCTTCAGTGTATGCGGAGCTCAATCTATTTCCACTTCCTTCCACTGCATATTTGTTGGGTGATAGGTTGTTGGTTGACTCGCTGTCAGCCAGCCAACCAACCAAGCAACCAACCAGAGTTCCTTCTTGCTTATTCTCATTATTCTCACCATCTGATCTCCGTCTTTGCAATCGACTGATCGCAGGTGGTACCTGTTAATCTTTGTCTGCCGTTTGTTGAAAATGCTTTTCGTAACTCACCAACTCTCTCAACCATCACATAGAAACACTGACTGACTTGATTGACATTAGTGTTTAAAAGCCGCATCTTCTTCATACTTTACGCTGAGTGCAGTGCAGCGCAGTGCAGTAGATCTCCACACTGATTTCAGGTTAAATGAAGGCCTGTTTTGCTGTCTTTCCGGTCCTGGCTGGCTTTGACGTCTTCATCTGTGCCTTTGCCGCCTGCAGTTGAAATGATGCTGTCCTGCCTAGGTAGGTGTAGGTGAAAGAGACTACTTTCTTCACATTTCTCCCGTTCATGGTGATTGGTGCTTGTTGTTGTTTCTGTTGTTACTGGATGGGTATCTTCGTCACCTCTGTCTTCTCTACATTCACCTGAACAAAGTCCCGTCTTCCTTCGCTGACTCGCCTAACTTCTTCTGACAACCTGGCAGTTTTCACTAGTAGATCTTCGAGTTTGAGGTTTTGCTACATTAGACATCATAAATCATCATCGGCGAAATCCAAATCTTCTTCTTGGGTCACTTCATCGGTCCAGCTAGCATATGCCCCTCTTCTCGTTCCTCACAGTTTGTTGCATGATCCAGTCGACTACAATCAGGAAGATCATCGGTTATGATAGTAGGTGGAAAGCAACCTTGTCTTACTCCTGTCCCCTGTCTTCACTTCAAAGACGTCACTGAGCTTTCCATTGTGAATCAGTTGGCATATGGCATCGTTATATAGCTACTGAATGAAGTTGATAAAGGTTTGAAGCACTAACCTCTATCAACCTCATTCAACACCAGCTTTATTCTATATGATGTTGCTACATGCCAAGTGATTGACAATGGAAAGTTTCAGTGATGCCTTCGAAGTGAAGACAGGAGACGGGAGTAAGACAAGGTTGCCGCTTACTATAATCACCGATGATCTTTCTGATTGTGGTCGACTGGATCATGCAACAAACAACTGTGGGGGGCGAGAAGATGAGCATACGCTGGCCACACCGATGAAATGACCCAAGAAGGAGATTTGGATTTCGCCAATGATGATTTATGATGGTGTCTAATGTCGCACAAGCTCAAACTCGAAGATCTATAGGCGAAAACTGTCAGGTTGGCAGAAGAGGTTAGGCGAGGTAGTGAAGGAAGACAGGACTTTCTTCAGGTGAATGTAGACAAGACATAGTGATGAAGATACCCAGTCGACAACAATAACAACAATAAGCACCAATCACCATCAATGGAAGAAATTTAAAGGAAGTTGTCTCTTTCACCTACACCTACCTAGGCAGGGCAGCATCGTTTCAACTACAGGCTGCAGCACAGGCACAGATGAGGATGTCACAGCAGCTGCGATCCGAAAAACAGCCAAACTGGCCTTCCTGCATTAATCTGAAATCAGTGCGTAGATCTACTCCACTCAGCATAATGCGTGAACAACATCCGGATTTTCAACACCAATTCAGTCAAGTCAGTGCTTGTATATGCTTCAGAGACTTGGCATGTCACGAAAAGCACTTCCAACAATCTAAAAACATTTATCAACAACTACCTACGCTCACTAGATACTGAAGCTCAGATGGCCAGAAAGGATAAGCAACAAGGAACTCTGGTTGACTGGCAACGGACCAACCAAGAACCTATCACCCAACACATATGCAGTGGAAGAAAGTGGAGATTGATCGGACCGGGCATACACAGTGAAAACCATTGGGAGACATCACGCGCCAGATCAGGCCGTGGAGTGGAATCCAAATGGGAAACGACGAGTTGGACGTCCCAGCTGAAGATGACATGGAGGAGATGGTGTGAGGAAGAAATGGAAGCTTGTGAGCAGTTGTGGAGCCAGGTTGAAAAGACTGCAGAGAAGAGAGTGCACTGGAGACGTGCTACTGAAGCCCTATATTCCACTAGAAACCCAAGGAATAAAAATAATAATAATAATAATAATAATAATAATAATAATAATAATAATAGAGTTTATTAGGAAATTTCTTACAACTCTTCAGAAACGAAGTAATATTGGCAGTATGAATAGTAACAACAATATAAATAGAAATGAGTTCAGGGATTCTATTGCGTTGGCATTTCGTGAAGGAACATGAAAGGCTTTGAGTAGAATACTCCCATTCAGACAATTAGAAAAAAGTCTGATTGAACGAAAAAATATATATTCTCTTTCATTTAGGTCTTTGTCTTGGTCTCTACACTAATAGATATAGGGAATTCCAATCCAATCAAAGTACCTGTCAAGTAGTAGTAGTGGTGGTGGTGGTGGTAGGGGGTGTGTTGGCAAACAATAATTATAATTTTTAAGCAAGTCATAAAGATGATAAGTTTTAGAAATTAAGATGTAAATAATTAATAGAGTAATTAAAATTGATAATATGAAGCAGGTTATTCTTAGGTAAATGGAGTGATTTTTGATACGTGTTCAGCCATAAACAATAAGAAAACAAATGAATATTGATAAAAGCAAGAGGGGGAAGAGGTGTACAAGGTAATACTAGAAATTACATCATGTTGACGGCCACAATAATAAAAGGTTAGATGTGTTTGTACAGGTGGATTGCAATCACCTCTGCTATGTGGAGGAAGTAAATTAATTGGAATATGATGAGTAATTTTGAATGCTTTCCTATTATCCATTTGATGTCCGATGTCAACTAAGTGTGCAAGTATGGAACTCTTCATTGTTCTAAGTTGTCTCTTGTTCAACTATGATGCATGGTGCTCAGAAATCCGACGATGGACGTACCTCATTGTGTGCCCAATGTAACCTGCTTCATATTTCCAATTTTATTTACTCTATTGATTATTTACACCTTAATTTGTTTATATCATTTTCAATATTTACTTAAAATGCCTATGCTTGTTGTTCACCAACCCCCCCCCCCTACCACTTGATTGGTATTTTGATTGAATTGAATATCTCTATATCTATTAGTGTAGAGTTCAAGACGAAGACCTAATTGAAAAGGAATATATTTCTTCGTTCAATCAGTCTCTTTTCATTGATTACTTAAATAATGTTCATAATAGTATTGATTGTTTAGGGTTAGTTGATAGGAGGTTGTTAAATTAAATTTTGTGCCATAATGTTTCTCAATTTTCAAAAGAATTCATGTTGTATTTAAAATTTTGGGAACAAATCATTGGGAAACATACTTAATTGTTCAACATTAAATACATTGCACAACAATTTTCAATCATTCAGCTTATTTGTCATAATAATTTCATTGATAAATTTTCACTAGCAATGAGGCGAAAAGTCAAGATGATAGTCATTATCTCATTGTCACTAAGTGTACAAAACATTGTCTCAAATATATATATACTTGATATTTTATAGAAAACAAAGGCAATTTAATTTGTTTACCTCTGGTGCCATAAATGAAAATGTTCCAATAACTTGTCCTTGGAATTGACCAGCAACACTTTGTTCACCACTTAAACGAGCTGAAGCTCCAAAATCGGATATTTTGATAACAGTTCCAGAACTATCGATTAAGAGGTTAGCACCTAGATATTTATGATCATCATCATACAAAAAAACAAAATGCATAATTAGCATGCTAGAATCGGGTAGTTTTAAATAAGATATTCAACGTTTCGACTTTAAATCATGGAGATTTGATTTCAACTAACCTCGATACAATCTAAGGTTACGCTGGGAAATAAGTAGATATTACATTGACACATTTGGGTTTTTATTTCTGGACAGCGATATTCTCATGGGCATAGGCTTTATCATACTGACTAGGGAACAGTCTAAAGTATAAGTGCATATACACTACTGACAGTTATTGACGCAGACAGATAGACAAACTGACAGATACACAGAATTTCGTAAAACAGTGCATCAATCCAAGTTGCCATACTCTACATCACCATACAAAAAGCAAGTGCATAGAAAGAGAGAGAGAACAAGTAGATGATGGTGCACGAAAATATTCAAAACTTCTACACTATTGTGGTTGATTTTGTTGTGAAGCAGTAACTTAATATAGGAGTGTGTACAGAGCTGTTAACCCCGCTTAAAGTATACAGACTTATTCTGCTATTCGATTGCCTAAGACAGTGGAAAAAATGGGTGTGAATCAATCATCCATTGAATCATAAGTATAGTCGAGTAGGAAATTGTGTCTGATGTTGATTTCGTGTCATGTAACAGTCATCAGTAAGAGGGATTGGCACAATTATGTATATTCAACAATATGAACAGATGTCGGTCATTGCTACAATCTAATGTCCTTCAAATTTTTAACGATATTTCATGAACTAAAAGATATTCATGCATTTAGATCCTTTGGAAAATTTAGACAAATTTAGAAAAATTTAGATTTCATTTCTTCCTAACATGATCTCCATGTCACCCTCAGTAGCTGGAACGCCCAACTCGTTTTCTCCCATGTGGGTTTCACTGGACGGTCTGGCTTGATGCGTGATGTCCCCAGTCGGCCTTCTCAATGTATGCCCAATCCAATTGATCTCCATTTTCTTCCACTGCATATTTGTTGAGTGATAGGTCCTTGTTTAGTTAGTTTAGTTGCTAGGCAGCCAGAGTTCCTTGTTGCTTATTCTTATTATTCTGGCCATCTGATCTTCAATATCGAGTGAGCGTAGGTGGCAGTTGTTGATGAATGTCTGTAGTTTGTTGGAAGTGCTTTTCGTGACACGCCAAGTTTCCGAACCATATAGGAGCACTGACTTGACTGAAGTTGGTGTTGGGAATCCGGATGTTGTTCACGCTTTATGCTGAGTGCTGTAGATCTTCACACTGATTTCAGATTAATGAAAGTCTGTCCTGATTTTGCGATCCCGGTTTTGACGTCCTCGTCTGTGCCGCCTGTAGTTGAAACGACGCTGCCCTGTCTAGGTAGGTGTAGATGAAACAGACTATTTCCTTTAGGTTTCTCCCATTGATGGTGATTTGTGCCTGTTGTTGATGCTGTTGTTGGTTGGGTATCATCATCACCTCTGTCTTCTCCACACTCACTTGAAGTCTCGTTTTCGCTGTCTCTTCTATCAACTTGTTAGTTTTCACCTGTAGATCTTCGAGTTTGTGCGACATTAAACATAAATCGTCGGCGAAATCCAAGTCTTCTAGGTTCTTCTCCGCAGTCCAGCGTATCCCCCTCTTCTCGCTCCCCACTGTTTGCTGCATGATCCAGTCGACCACAATCAGGAAGATGATCGGTGATAGTAGGCAGTCTCGAATTACTCCTGTCTTGACTTCAAAGGCATCACTGAGCTTCCCATTGTGGATCACTTGGTATGTGGCGTCTTCACATAGTTGTTGAATGAGATTGATAAAGGTTCGTGGCACTAAAACCAGTAGTATTGAAGCAACCACCAAATTACTTCTCGGTTGACGCTGTCGAAGGCCTTTTCAAAGTCGATAAAGTTAAGGTGAAGATCCAGTTGACTGCCATTCTATACTCTGTTCTATGATGATGCATAACGTATCGTTACAATTTGATCCACACATGTTTATTAGTATGAAATTATATAATCACTTATTTTAAACTATTATATGACAGTAACTGTGGTAAGTTGAAATGGGGGACCTAAAATATTAAGGAAGTTAGAAATCATAAGCTGTACGTGAAAATCGTTACTGCTTTGTATGTTATGTAACAGAAGGTCGAAGAACTGAATAAGGTTGGGGGGGGGGGTAGGAATTGTAAGGAAGGCGACCAGTACTCCCACCTAACAGATTACATAATATGCAAAGAAATGATATCCTATGTAAGATTAGGATGAAATCATTTGGTGAATAAGACAAGGAATTATGTAATTAAAATGAAACAATATCAACTTAAAATCATCATAGAAGTGAGAGATTGGTTGCACTCTCCGTTCTCTATGCAAAGCTCCAGTCTTTAAGCGGTGTTTTATAGTGATCACTTCCATAAAGTGTAATCGTTTAGGCATTTTATGTATGTTTATTAGTTTAAAAACACTAAAAGTTTTCAGCCATCCCATAGTATAAAAATCAGCAATGATTTTAACATAAAACTTAAGCTTTTTTCTAGAAAAAAAAAATCAATTAACAAGTAAATATAATTCGTTAAACTCACTGACTTCAGTAAGAAACGAAAACACTATTTTAGTCATCAGCAGTTAATCACCAGTAAAAAATGACTGAAGTTACATGCTACCTAGTTAATTAATGTCAACATGAGACTTGATTCTACTGCGTAACGCTTCAAGTCGCCCACCATATTCTATATCAGAAAATCAAAAAAATCATCTTGTCACTAGCAGGATAAGCAACGTTTATTCGGTCAACACATTATTATATAGGATTGATCTGACAAACTTGTCATTATTATGATTAATTTTTAAGCCATCGAACCGATATTAACTGAGCTTACTGTGTGATGTATATTCTCTTTTTATATCTTTAGTTTTATACTACTTAATATTTTCGAGTAGTACAACTCATGTTTTATAATGTTGCTTCATCTACATCCATGACTATTCATTCTGTTCAACCGTAACTTGTTCATAACTTAACATTCGTAGACATTAGTATCTTTCACAGTTCATGATTATGTTGTAATTTCTTTCGTTATTTTCTGATGTTCTATTTTACTTTGAATATTTGTTTGTCTTGTATCTTCACATCACCATTAGAACTTACGCGCATCTTTGTTATATTCCCTTCTGGTAGTATGATAAACATTTCTACTTGTACTGTTGACACACTCTTTGTAAACCGCTTTGAAAGCGATAATCGAGTAGATACTTCACGATTCAAGATTTACATTTCATTACTCAATATTGTTTATCAATAAAGAACCGTATCACAGACAATTCCCGTGTTTAGGATTTTACGCGTAACTCAAACGCTTGGTTTATTGTCGAGATGTCGCTCTCGTTAGCTTTGGTTCCGAATTTCTTGGAAAGAAATTCAAAAAAAAAAAGAATGAAGTAAAGTCAGAAAATACTTATCATTAATGCACATGTGAAGTGAGGAATACAAGAAAGAGAAAACGTCATGAATAAAATTACCTTTTAAATCACGATGTAATATACCATGTTTATGCAAATAGGCTAAACCACGTATTAATTGTACACCATAATTTAGTGTAATCGACTCATTGAATGCACCATATTGCTGTAATAGACTTGTAATACTACCACCTGGCATCCATTCAATAAATAAATCAACAAATCCACGTTTTATACAATGAACAGCACCAAATAAACGTAGAATATTTGGATGATCTAATTGTAGCATTATGCGTACTTCTGTTTCAACTTCAGTTAATTGATTCAATGATGTTGGTGATAATGGACGATGATGAAATTGATTTGGATGATTATCATTATCGTTATTATTATTATTATTATTATTATTATTATTATTATTATTATTATTATTATTTATTCCTGATTCATTTTTATAGAGTTTCTGTTGATTATTATTTTGTGATTTATTTTTCTCTGTGAAATATGAAAACATACCATTTCGTCCAAGACGTATACGTTTCACAGCTAACAGAAGACCAGTTCTAACATCACGTGCTTGATAACATTGTGAAAATGCACCTTGACCAAGAATTGGTCCACGTATCCAATCGATTGATTCATAATATTCATCAGAGCTAGGCAATTTTTTTGTCTGTTGAAATGAATTCATTACAAATGATAAACCAGGTATTGGTAATAATGGTTTCAATGGATGTGTTGAACGTGATAAAGCATTTCTTAATACTGTAACTTGTTCAGTGTGTAGATCAGCCTCAGAACCAAGTGATCGACCATTATAAATTGGTTCATTAAGATGATTTAGTTTATTATCAGCACCATCATGACTATCATCATCATCATCATCATCATCATCATTATCATTAGTTCCATCTTCGTCAATAACAACATCCTCCTCTTCATCATCTTCAAATTCACTTGGACTACTATAATGACCAGATTCAGATAAAGGGACTAGATCATAGGCTGGTTCCAGTGCAATACGTAAAAAGGATGAGTTCAAAATTTGACATTTTATCCTTTTCTTGCTTTCATCCTCCTCATCATTATCAGTTGCAGTAGCAACATTATTATCATTATCATTTTTCAATGTGTCCAACTTGACTGAATCTTCCTTCTTATTATCGATCAACTCAAAATTGTTTATTGTCAGTTTTCTTGGTGGTGGGATCGGTGGTAATTTAGAAGAACACATAGAAGAAGAAGGAGAAGATGAATTATGACAGGTTGGTTGTGCATCTGGAGAACAAGACAGTCTACGAACAAATGGTTCTTCTTTCTGTTGTTCATATGATGGATTTTTATGTGAATTCACTTCTTCGAATAGTTTATGCTCTCCCCCATTTGTATTATTTTTGCTGTTCCTGCTAGTTGAGTATGAGGATGACAGAATACCGGTTCTATGTGGTGGCAAACACTTTTTCTGTTGTTGTCCTTGTTGTTTAACATCACTTATCTGACTTGATAATGAGGCGATAAAATTATTACTGTCAGCATTTCCATGCATATTAAATGTCTCATTTGTATAGAGTAATAGACATAGTCTATTTCTAAACCATGTCGCTAATGGTGCATCTAGTCGATTAATTTCTGATTCAATAAACGATTTGGCGTTAAATGCAGATGGTGGGAGGGGATCACATCGGTCAGTAATAATCTCTTCATTTCGCCATGTAAGTAATGCTCTGGATGCAGTGAGAAATACACGTCTAGCCTATGAAAGAAAAAAAAAGAATGAAGTGAAATCAGAAAAATATCTAGTCGATAACAAACATAAATATGCATTCTGCAAACGAAAAACTTACAGGCAAGTATCATTCATTAAGAGAATATGATATATTGTAAAATGTATAGTTGGATACATTATTATTATTATTAGTCCCTTGGGTTCCTAATGGAACATAGGGTTTCAGCAGCATGTCTCCAGTGAACTCTGTTCTCTGCAAACGTTTGAACCTGGCTCCACGACAGCCCACAAGCTCTCATTTCCTCCTCACACCATCTCCTCCATGTCACCCTCAGCAGCTGGGATGCCCAACTCGTCGCTTCCCATCGGAGTTCCACTCGAGCAACTGGCCTGACGCGTTATGTCCCCAGTCGGCCTTCTCAGTGTATGCCCAATCCATCTCCACTTCCTTCCACTGCATATTTCTTGAGTGATAGCTTCTTGGTTGGTTCGTTCCCAGAGTTCCTTGTTCCTTATTCTTTCTCGCCTTCCCATCTGAGCTTCAGTAGCGAGTGGGCGTAGGCAGTTGTTGATGAATGTCTGTAGTTAAATGGAAGTCCCTTTCGTGATACGCGAAGTCTCTGAGCCATACAGGAGCACTGACTTGACGTTGGTGTTGAAAATCCGGATCTTCTTCCACATGCTGAGTGCAGAAGATCTCCCACTGGTTTCAGATTAATGAACGCCTGTCTTGCTGTCTTTCCGATCCTGGCTGGCTTTGACGTCCTCGTCTGTGCCGCCGCCTATAGTTGAAACAGTGCTGCCTAGATAGGTGAAGGAGACAACTTCCTTTCAGTTTCTCCCGTTGATGGTGATCGGAATTTGTTGCTCTTGTTGGAGTTGTTGGCGCGGTATCTTCATCACCTCTGTCTTCTCTACGTTCACTTGAAGTCCTGTCTTCACTGCCCTGCCTCTCCTGTCAACTTGTTAGTTTTTGCCTGTAAATCTTCAATTTTGTGTGCCATTAGACACAAGTCATCGTGGAAATCCAAGTCTTCTAGGTTCTTTCCCGCAGTCCAGTGTATTCCCCTCTTCTCACTCCTCACTGTTTGCTGCATGATCCAGTCCAGTTGACCACAATCAGGAATATCATGGGTGATAGTAGACAGCCTTGTTTCACTCGTCTTCACTTCAAAAGCATCACTGAGCTTCCTATTGTGAATTACTAGTTGGATAAATGCACAAAGAAGAAACTGGCTAGGCATCACTACGTCATTATTATTATTATTTTGTCCTATGAGTTCCTAGTGGAACATAGGGCTTCAGTAACACGCCTCATGCATCATCATCATCAATATCAACATAGGACGAGGCATTACTGCGTAACGGTCCGAGTTGCCACACCTCGTACCACTACATCAAGTAAAAAGCAGTGAGGTGAAGGATGAAGATTAGAGAATGCAGTCAAAAGAAATATAAAGTATGAGACGAAAGAAAGGAAGAATGAGAAAATGGTGAGATTCGGTATAACATCGTTAAGATAATGATAATGGGTGGGTGTGTATACATCTGCGCCACTGACATCGGTTATCAGCCATATCACCTAGAGTAGTCTCCAACCACTGGCTTCTCTTGTCCCGTGGACCCCAACCACTTAGTCTGCATCACCCCACATGGCTCAAACCAACAGTCAGAGACTTCATGCATTGGTGCCACGTTTTATTCTGGCCACCTCGGGACTTTTTCCTGTTCCATGCCTCCAATGCACTCTGTTCTCTGCAGTCTTTTGAACCTGGAGCCACGACTGCCCGCAAGCTTTCATTACTTCCTCATACATCTCCTCCATGTCACTATAGAGCTTAGAATAAATTTGAAAGTAATTTTTGGGGTTGACTGATTTCATTACGGGTTGACATCAGCTGGTGAAACATTGGAAACCTCAAAGCACTAGACAGATATCTCATCTTAGTTCACAAGGCTTCTCACTAGTGTGCATCAACTGCGATGAGAATTACTTCAAAATTAGTAATTCCTACAAGTTACTCGTTAAATTAGCTCAGTGTTCACTAGTGACTTGTTTTGACATGGATTTCCTGAAGCTCAATGAAGAAGTCGTGATATATGAGATCAACCAAGGTGAGTCTGAGGACGGGTGCCAACAGATGAGATTGGGTGACGGTCACGCTCTGACATGACTTGACAAAAATAGGGAATAGTGAACTACTGAACTCCACTCCAGTGGCTGAATGGTAACAAGTTCATTGTCTGACCTGACTTTCCTGGACTTTATCCTTCATGATGTTGTCGGTGAACACTCCTGGCTACTAATGGTAAATTAGGACGAACCAGCTGTCTAGTGCCCCTAGATTTTCAATGATCGTATAACCGATGCCAATTCGCGATCAAAACTACTTTGAAATCTATACCATCTGCTAAAACATTAAACTCCAAATGATACGATGCATTTTTAAAGTTTATTCTGAAACAGTTCAACAGTTTGGACTCGTGACTCATACTAAAACTAACCTTATTTATGATGAAATAGAATGCTTGTTTTTGAGAATGCAGGTTAACTATGATTTACTGAAATGAGAAATGACCCCCCCAGTTCTAAATCAGTGAGTGTATAGAAGTGTTCTTCATGAGATTTTTAGGGTGATATGTTATAGATTAGAAGTGATTGCTACCACTGAGTACTCTAAATCTAGGATGTGGCGCAGTTGTTCAGTGCCTTATTACGTTTTCCATATCTCTCATATAGATGTAACGTACCAACACTGTGTAATAACCTGAAGGGAAAGTGAAAAGAAAGCAATAAATCTGTCTCTTAGGAATGAGTGGAAAGTAAGGTAGCTCTCATCCACAAACCTCCAAAAATGCAAGTAGGAATGATAACAACTGAAATCTCTGGCGTGCATCTCTGCTTGGTATTTCACTAGGTAACGAATCTTCACAAACCCTAATGAAGCTGTAGGAGTCTTAAAAAAGACTAGCAGATTATAGTTGTTCAGTATTCCTTTCTTTACAGTCAGACACTGCAAAAACACCTATCGATCATCAGGATCAAAAATCATTTTCACGACAAAAAATACTTCATATCTGGCGCTAAAAAGTACACCTATGTTCTAAAACTAGTAGAAACTGAAAGCTGAATGAATGCACACTGATACAAATGTGAAAGTTGTCTGGTCTATCAAGTTCCAGCTAGGTGTCTAGTAACTACAAAGCTTAAGATGTTAAAAACAATGTTAGTCAAGTTGACTCCTCTTTGATCGTCACAAGAAGATATGTAGCCTTTCTGATAAACTGAAGGGATCAAAGAAAGTTATAAACTGATGTGATAGGATTATCTATGGTTCCCATATGTTAGCTACAAAATCGGTTATTCCTGACCATGTTGTGAAGGGCATCTGGAACATATAATAATAAATTGGCAATTAAAGACATTATAGCTTTCTAACATGCCGTATACGACACCGTGAACAGGATGTTATCACTTACAATTCGATTAGCTTTATATTGAGTTTGATGAAAGTAGTTGACATCACCCAATCCATATTGTTGATTATACACCGGGAACAATTGCTGCCATTGATGACCAGTCGTTGTTATTGCTGTTCCTGCACCAGTTAATTTCGCCATCGCTGCGATGCCGCTGGTGATGACGGAGGCTTTATTAAAAAGTTACTGCCATGTATATCAGTTGATTGTAATTGATAATGATGCGGGAAACACATTATCATATTATCTGGTTTAGGGTAGATAGGCAATAAATGGCGTCTAGCAAAAACAATGGTAGAGCATAAATGCCGTCGAGCTAGTGACTGATCAGCTGATGGAGATGATATTGGCGATGGTGTGTCACCTTGAACTGATATCTTGTCGATTGATGATGATATATCACTGGTAGTAGTATTGTTGTTCATTGTATCTCTAGATAATAATACTTGATTAGAGGCTGATTGTTGTTGTTGCTGCTGCGGCATGAATTCCTGCATTCTTGCCTGATGCATACGAATTAATTTATCGACAATAGTCAAACGACCGATTAAATGAGTTGCATGGAATTTTGCTGAACTTAGCACAAAACGTACCATATGTTGTATTCCACTGACAGGTAAACACTGTGGGGCTGTATAAGAAATAGATTGCACACACACACACACACACACACACACACACACACACACACACACACACACACACAAAAGGAAATCGTAATTAGCATTGGAAGAATATTACAATATTATAATGAATATTTCAGTGCCCAGAACGTTCGCCAGTTAACTATCTACTCTTGTGACTTTCGCTGACGATGACACACTACATACTACTTAAATGCATTGTTACAAGTAGCCTATATTGCAATACTACATAATATTGACTGGTAACAGAATCCAGAATAAATACCTCCGTTTTATTTCGAACTTATCAACCATACAGGCGTACATCCTAGTGAACACTATTCAAAAAAGAGTCTACCGTTTACTACACTTAGAAACTAGCTTAAAGACCTAAGAACATACAGTTGAAGCATAGTCGTTCACACTTCTATTCTCAATTAACTTATATTTATTCTCTCCTGATTTAAAAAGAAGAGGTTCTCTTGACTGATTCAAGGTATCAATACTCAACTGTGCCTATTTTCACAGTATATAAGCATCGGTCTGGTCTGGCATGCAGTATACTGAAAACAAAGTGTTACAGTGTGCAATAAGATTGCCCAGATTCACATAAGAAGCCTTAAATCCCTGTAGTCTTTCATATCTAATCATGTTGCTTTGAAGTTTCAATAAAAAGAATATGAAGCTGATTGTAAATATCAGATTGATCGAAGAGGTAAAATCAAAAGATAATCTCTTCTAGTAGGGGCTAGGAATAGTTGAGGACATTGTAGATATAAACATATAAACCGTAGAATTTTGTACATATTTTGACGTTGCAATACAATTTCTTCTTACAGCGTTTTCTGTGTACCGAGGAACTGGGTAGAGTCTGTAAGTTACTGATCAAGTGTATACTCTCATATATATATATATATATATATATATATATATATATATATATATATATATATATATATATATATATATATATATATATATATATATATAATATAATACACTAGGAAATATTACAAAGCAATATCAAGTGAAATAGTGGGAAAGAGTGGATCGCTGAATTCCAACCTAGTGGCTGAATAGTAAGTAACATGCTCACCACGAGAACTAATGGTCTGAACTCGAAACCCCGTGAAACTTTGGATGCATAGTATCAAGGGTTCCTAACCTACTACAAAACAGCTGTTCAATGGCCTCCTAGGCTTTCAATCGTTCTACAAATAATGTTAATCCTTGATAAAAACTACCTTGAAATATCATAGACGTTAGAAGTTGATTAACCACAGTAAACTACGTCAAAAAGTGAACACCTTCAAGAGAAACTGACTGAATTGTGGAATACCATTTGAATGGTAAGTAGATCTACTTAGTCCTATTTTATTTATCGACTATACAGTTATTACTCAAATTTGGCCGCTTAACTCACCTTTAGACAACTAGAACGTTAGATTAACTTATGCACAATAAGTGTAACTATCAGTTTTATGCACAACACAGTACGTAAATATATCAGTGAATTGTTTACTCAATGAATAATGTCTAAATTCATGTCAAGGCCTATTCGAAAATTTAGGCAATTACTATTGCTAATGTTGTTCAGCAATAGCTGTTGAAAACTTTACTATTGTGTTAACAAAGTTGTAACTACACATGAAAACGGCCATTTTTATATAAATTTGATCACTATGTGCAGTAACTTTCAAGAAACACCATTATTTATTACTATTTATTGATATACTTGTAATTCTCCGTTGTTTTAACTAGATCGAGTTGTTCAACCTCTATTGGTATATGAGCTGCTATGTGAATGCCTTGACATTGTCTGAATATTACTAATAATAATTTACTTGGTTGTGGCTAGCCGAGGAATTCAGCTAACGAGTCTCAAATAGGACGAAATACGGTCCTGCAAGCTACAACTAAGTAAAACACTATTATTTATCGAAGATGACACCTAGAATTTACATGAACTAGGTTTTTAGTTTCAAGCATAGAACAACTCAGTGATGAAATAGTCAACTGGGTTTGGAATCAGTTTTTTCTTAGTTTCAGATACATTACAACAATGAAGACAGTCAATTACATCAAATCTAGATCATGGTTTCTTTTTGACGGTTATCTTCATCTACTGCTAAATATAGTTAAATATAGCCAGTCAGTTAGATGGTTTGTACAAACCAATCAAGATAGAAATAGAGATGATGGGTGTCGTTGCTAACAGATTACAAATAAATCATACCACCTACACCTTGTATTGAAGTCTACTATCTTTGTCCTTCATATTTCTTAGTCTAATGAGGGTATCATTCAAAAACTGTCTTCTTAAAGTAATTCCTTAACAAGACAATATATGAAATGGTCAGCAAATCACAACATGGTGCTAATTTACTTAAATAGAGATAGATAGTAAACGTGTCTCATTCGTTTATGTTGCCGAATTTCACAGGTTCCAATCCTCTCCTTCTATGAAGCTTTAAGCAATCAGATATATTATCATCGTCTCTCAGACAATAGGTTGAACTCACTGCCTAGTGCACAAAATTGCATATGATTGTTAAATCTTACTATTATTTTTATCAGTGTTTATTCAACAGTAATTCTAACGTGTGAATGTCAGACATCACAGTGAATTAGATCACGAAACTGTACTAGAAATAGCTTATTTTGTACAACCTTCGTTTGAAGAAATTCTAGTCACTGTCTATGTGTAGAGTGTAGTGTAGCATAGAAAGACAGTGAATAAACATTGCAAGAATTCTAGATACACGTACGTCACTGAAGAGCCTGGAAGTTTGCAAGAAAATACTAGTTATCATTAGTGGTAAGGATTATGTTGATGTTTGTTTGGTGGATAGTAGTGGAATCTAGGACGTGAGTTGAGTCTTACTTTAAACTCGTTAGCTAGATATACCCACACCCCAGTGAGCGATGTTGTTCCCCAATGAGATACTGAGCCAGTACCCACTGCTTTACACAGCAAAGCGTTAACCACTAAACCACTGAGACACAAGAGCCAGCGGTAAAGATTACCAAATAGAGGTTATAGCATATTAACTAAATTTACCTGATTGAACTTCTCGGCCAAGAGCTAAAGCACCTGACTGACCTTTAGCTAATTCTATCAGTGTAGCTAGAGCTAGATTGGAACGATCACGGAAATTAGCTGCAGGAGCTGATAATGATGATTGGGATTTCGCCTGTAACACATTTGTTTCATCTGTTTTTCTTATCAACTTTGTAGAATTATTTTCAAGAATTTTAGGGTTTGTTTGAGAAATAAGTAGATCAAGTTTTTTCGTATCTACATGGGATGAATTAACTGGTATATTTGTCAAATTACTGTTTACAATTGTTCTGACTTCTTCATCTTGATGATGGATTGAATGTAAAAGTGTTTCTGGACTACGTAGACTCCATAAATTACTTGATCCACCAACAAATCTTAAAAGGCGACGTAGAATTGGACCAATTGCTCTTTGTAAGGCTGACTGTGTTTCTTTATTATAACAAACTAAATAGCCGAGTAATTCTCGAAAAGCTCTCTAATTATAGTGAGGAAAAAAAGGAGGTAGCGTATGAGAATAAATTCAACATCGTAATAAGAGTAGGAAATACTGTTATATAAAACATATTCCAGTAAATTCAAGTTACTTACCATACGTAGGTAGGTTACCGTTTTATGAAAACGTTCAATATACGCAACTGATAGATATTAAAGTGTATTGCTTTTATCTACGATTATTCAAAAAGTACTGGAACTCGTCTTCTACAACATCCAGCGGAAGCTGTGGGAATCGGAGTTGAGAATCCTAGTCTTTTTATCTTTTATCTCTCTCTTGGGCTATGGAATACTTAATCAACAACTTTATCACTGACATTCTTCCCAACCCTTTCTTATTCTTCACCTCTTTCATATACTTTATTCGTTTAGACTTTGTTTATTGACTTACTTCATCCTTTAGTATCACACAACTTTTATTTTTCCACGTGAGCTTTTGACCCACTTTGATTTCCATGTTGCGTTCTTGGTTCTTATCATTATTATCGTTTATATTGCAAGTGCTTTAGTCAACGTTATCATTCTTATGATTTGTATGATTATCACGATTGTTATTTGAAAATATTTATCATTCACTATCTGAGACAGACGTAGTTTAGCAGACTAGTATTTATACTTGTGGTCGCTGATTCGAGTCCGGCCACGGTCCAAATTTTTACTTCACCTTCATTCATCACCCAGTATCAATACTGTAAGTCTGCCAAACCACGGCTATCGCAGATAATCGAATGATGATCTATCTGATGCTTCCCCTCTCTAATTCAGTTACATTTAGATTAGGATGAGAAGTCCTGATTGGGCAGCCAATGTGAATGCGATCAAGCAGTAGTAACCCGTTACGAATTCACATGGTAGTCGGACAAAACCCTTGGTGATTGAAGTGAAATAGAAATTTGGTCAGCAGTCTGACATCGTTGGTAGAGTATCGGGCTGGAAACCAGGTGGTCGGTAGTTCGAATTCAACAGCGGTCCAAATTTTCATTTCACCTTCAACCATCACCCAGTATGGAAACCTATATCCCACTAACTGACAAATCTAAATGGCTGGTTTAATTTTCTTTATATACATTAAGCTATTTATATTAAAGACTGAAGAGGATCTAATTGAAAACAATATTATTCGCTTATTACGTCTTGTTCAGATTTACATAATGGGAACGTTTCAAACTCTACAATCTAAAGTAGTCGATTTTCAAACTCGAGCTACCCCACTACCATCATTAGTTCAAATGTACATGCCAAAGTACGTAACATTAGAACAACAGAGCGAGAGAGAGAGAAGACTTCTCGTTTACATTTGTTAATATATTCGAAATAATTTGAATTCCAAGGGTCCATAGGCTTTAAATAGCGCGATCGCTAAACATTTACTTGATAATGGATATAATGTTACCATATCGAAATTGTTCAAGGTGATCAATAAACCAATGAAACTAAATCTTTTGTATTTCGCTGAATCAGTTTTAATTAAGAAACTCAAACTTGACCTTAATATTCAAAAAGATACAATTTTCCATCATATCTTACCTTCGCAACTTTAATCTCCTAAATTTATAATTATAAAATTTCATGACCCCTTCTCTTTTAATCTATTCCGAAATCTACTCTGACTTTCTACATTGTATTCATTTTATTACTGAATATCATAAAAATCTGCCAACCTAACATTTGGTTTACTTAATCGTGTCAGTATTCTTTAGGAATTCCAAAATAATATTATGCGGCACAGACGAAGATGTCAAAGCCAGACAGGATTGGAAAAGCAAGACTGCAGTTCATTAACCTAAAACCAGTGTCGAGATCTTCTGTACTCAGCATAAAGCATCAACAACATCCAGATTCCCAACATCAACTTCAGTCAAGTCAGTGCTTCTGTATCACTCAGAGACTTAGCGCGTTACCAAAGACATTTCCAACAAACTACAGACATTCATCAACAACTGCCACCTACGCTCACTCAATATTCAACACCACATAGCCAGAATAATCAGAATAAGCAACAAAGAACTCTGGCTGCCTAGCAACTAAACTAACTAAACAACGACCTATCACTCAACAAATATGCAGTGGAAGAAAGTGGAGATCGATTGGATTGAGCATACATTGAGAAGGCCGACTGGGGACATCAACACCAGATGGACAGAATAATCAGAATAAGCAACAAGGAACTCTGGCTGCCTAGCAACTAAACTAACTAAACAACGACCTATCACTCAACAAATATGCAGTGGAAGAAAGTGGATATCAATTGGATTGAGCATACATTGAGAAGGCCGAGTGGGAACATCACGCGTCAAGCCAGACCGTCCAGTGAAACCCGCATGGGAAAAAACGAGTTGGGCGTCCCAGCTGCTGAGGGTCACATGGAGGAGATCGTATAAGGAAGAAGTGAAAGCGTATGGGCATTGATGGAGCCAGGTTCAAAAGTTTGCAGAGGACAGAGTGGAATGGAGACGTGCTACTGAAACCCTATGTTCCACTAGAAACCCAAGGGATAATAATAATCATTAAAAAAAATAATACCATGTACAACAACCGCCTATTTCTGCAATCTTCTCTAGAAGGTTCGTTCTGTCATTGTAAAAATAGTTAAACTTTGAGTAGTCTTAACAACTTCATCAATTTCGGTTAGCTTACACATCTTTATTATCTCCCCCATTTCAATTAACACATCCTTTATCAGAGCTATGAAGTAAGTTGTATACTTTGCTTTTTATCACAAACATTATACTTTATAGGTTATAAAACAGCTGAGGAAAGTTGACGAAATACATGCATACTACTTCTACTATTATCGTTTATTCTTGCCTTGTTTAATGAATTATTTAATAAATAGTGTCTCAATATTTCCAATGAAACACAATAAGGCATTTGTAGGCCAAAACCTTTCGAACTATTGAGATGGCGAATGAAATGATAAGAAAACCTGCAATTCAATTAGGTTCTTCAATTGAGACCAGTCAGTGATGAATTCCATCTTAAAAATAAAAATCACCATCAACCTCAAAATACAGTGCTCATTAGTGATATGCTTCGAGATGGATATCCCAAAGTCTCAATGAGAAACCAAGACCTGTGCAGTTAACTAGCCGGAAGTTTTATCGTGAAACCTGCATGTCCTGAGTTCGATCGCTGGCGAAGCGGGTTCGTGGATTCTTATTGCTGAGGAGTCCCATACTAGAATGAAGCCACTGTTCCGTGCTCCCAGGCTTTCAATGGTTCTCCAATTGGTGTCAGTCCGTGATGAATACTACAATGAAAAGAAAAATCCCTTATCAACCTCAAAATACAGAATATTTTAAGTTTCACCTCACCTAAGTAGCTGACCAGAACCAGATGGTTGGAATTTTTCCGTTGTGTGAATGGGAATCCGAATGAGTAGAACACTAGGATGCTGTTTAGAGTAAGTTGGTCTATTTATTGAGTATAAGTGTAATCAATGAAGTAAGTAAATAAGCGCTCTTTTCATTTTCCCTGAATAACTCATAACCATTCTATTTTTTCCATTATGAACACAAGCGTCAGTGGGTTCCAGCTATTCACATCCTTCAGAAGTATATTTTGTTGGTTCTTAACGTTTTTGTGTTACTGATTACACCTGTTGATCCTGACTGGATGGTTTCTAATGAAAACTCTATTGAGACAGTAGTTAAGCGATTGATAAACCTCCTTCTCAGCAGTAAGAAATGACCATATGGACCATGGAGTGTTTAAATCATCTGCAAATTGATCAGTCAACATCGATTTCCGTTTTATTACCTTGAAATCCATTGGCTCAAAACAACTCATCATTTTAATGTCCACTATCTGTCTTAATCTGACTTGTTTGTACAACTTACGGATGTAAAAAGAAGGTATAAGTTGTTGTAACTGCTGTCAAAGTGGATACTGAAGAGTATAGTAACCCCAACGAACTGACTTGGTTTGGTTCACGTGATTAGCATTGATAACTAAGAAAACTTAATTTGAGTACACTATCAAGTGATTAACCTCGCCTGGCTAACTAGTTCACTAGTTACTAGCCGGTCCTAAGCCCCGATAAACAGGGAAGGTTGGGCATAGGGCCAGCAACCCTACCCCCGTAAAACAAATCTAACCGCTAAAGAAACTTCAAAGCATAAGCAAAATTATTCCTTGCTGGAATCGGAGAGGCGAAATGACGCCAGTTGGTGAAAGCCTTCGGGAAGCCAATTCGCCGATGTGTCTCCTCTTCTCTCGATAAACGCGAAAGTAAACGTGAGGATATGGAATGTCCGCACCATGTTTGAACACAGCAAGGCAGCCCAGATTGCAAACGAGATGAGGAGGTATTACATTGAAGTGCTTGGAATTTGCGAGGAACCAGCAGATGGAATGGGAGTGGACTCTCCAAACTGTCAACTCGAGAATCAATAATCTACTCCGATATTCTCACCCAGACGACAACCACGAGCACACTGAGCCTTGGAGGGGCTATCATGATGTCCCCAACAGCATCGAAGGCTCTCATGCAGTGGGAACCAATATCCTCAACGATCAAGATCATGACAGCAAGATTCAACTCAAAAGGAAGAAAGGTCACAATCATACAATGCAACGCTATGCACCTACAAATAATGCAGAACAAGAGAAAAAGGAGGAATTCTACAGACAACTCCAATCAACACTGGACAAGATACCACACCAGTTGGCGATATCAAAATTCTAATGGGCGAGGTGACATGAATGCCAAACTGGGAGGGGACAACACAGGTAGAGAACTAACCATGGACCGAGAAGCGCTCAGTGAGGTGATGAACGAGAATGGAGAAGTGTTTGCAGAATTCTGTGCATTCAACGATTTGGTGATTGCAGTGAGGCACAGTGTTCAAGCACAAGGATATCCACAAAGCGACATGGATTTCACCAGATACTAGGACACACTAAAAATCAAATCGACTTTATCTCAATCTCAAGAAAATGGAGACGCAGTCTACTTGACACAAGGTCAAGAAGAGGAGCAGATGTAGTTTCACACCACTCACTATCTAGTGCAAGGAACCTTCCAAATCAAGTTGAAAGCCTCCACAGAAGTTGGTAATAGACGACCACAGTTCAAGTACAACACCCAGAACACAAACTGAAGGACGAAATTACAAACGACATCTTCATGGCAGCCAGCCATCAAGACAAAATGGGAGATATCGAGGAACATTCCTGAAGAAACCTGTGTGGAAGAACACTGGAACTCTTTGAAAGAGATGTGCAAAGAAACCTGCACAACCCTATTAAGAAGAAAGAAGACAAAGAATGGATCTCGATGGACATATGGAAGCTGATAGAGGAGGGTGAGGAGGATGGGGAAGCAGAAGATAAACCAGTGCAAGGATGCTCAACCACAAGAGGAACTGAGTACAATGTATAAAACATTACACTGGACAAAGAAGTGAAGAAGAGTGCATGCAAAGAGAAAAGACACTTCTACGAAACACTGGCAAGTGAAGCAGAACAGGCTGCTGCAAGAAGTAGGAGAGACAGAGACCTGACAACATTGTATCAAATAACCAGGTTACTTGCTGTCTGGGAAGAGATCAACACAGCACAGATGAAACCAATAAAAGGTGAAGAAGGAAATTTAATTACGAAAGAAGAGAAACAAAGGAAACAATGGGCCGACCACTTCAAAAAGCTCTTGAATCGACCACCACCACTACCACCTGCACTTCGTTCAGAAATACCACCTGCAGCCCAGCCACAGAACTACAAGTCAACATGAATCCTCCAACGAAACTCGAAGTCCTGAACGCCATAAAGCTACTGAAATGTGGGAAAGCAGCAGGACCAGATGGAATCCCGTCAGAAGCACTGAAAACACACGCAGAGACAACAGCAGCGGACATGCTCACACCACACCACACCACTATTGCAGGTGTGGAAGGAAGGGAAGGTACATGCCAGTTGATTGGAAGAAGGGTTACCTTGTCAAACTCCCGAGGAAGGGAGACCTCAGTGTTTGCAAGAACTGGTGCGGAATCATGCTGCTGTCCCTGTCCACCCACAGCAAGCAAAATATTAAGCCGCATCATCTGGAGAGACTAAAGGATGCTCTGGATTCAAAACTACGACCGGAACAGGCAGGCTGGCTGGATTCAGGAAGTACAAATCATGTGCCGACCAAATTAAATGATTACAACTTGAATTCTACACACCTCATTGTGTAGGCATAGTCGCTTTTGCAAATGTTTTCGTAACACTCATGAATCACTCCCTTGAACTGAAAACAAGACAAGATATTCACAACAGTTTTATATGCAGTCGTTTCATCTCTTCTCTTAGACTTACAACTAATGCCATACACACCATGTCTACAACACATAGTAATTTAAAGATAATAATAAAAAATCCCTTTAGGTTATAGAACGACAAATAATTTACTGTTAACGGATGATCGCTTTTCAACAATGAGTTATGAAACAATACTTATTAAACAGTTAGAAAAAAATACTATAAAAGTTGTTGCAAAATAATACTTGACAAATAACTTCTGAATAAATTGTCTTTTAAAATAAATAGAATAGTCAGCTGAAATATACTTGAACAAGTTTTGCATATTCTTTTCTTTAGTGTTCATTGTAACAAAAGGCTAATTAGATGTTTTCATACAAATAACTAGATAATAGTAGTGTACTTTGATGCGATATCCTTTTGTAGACCAGTTGATATAGTATACAGTCATTAATCCTGAATTCTCTGATTGAAAACTAATTGTAATCCAAGTCTTTCCTGAAAATGTACCCCCCTCCCCCTACATACACACACACACACTTACCCACCTATCCAGCTAGCAGTAGTACGACTTCGCCCTCAGATCCCCATCATAGTGTAGCAATTTACACTATAACGGTAACTGCTTTTCGTCTGAACACTATTCAACAGACCTTTCTGGTATGGTAGGACCTCGAGGGAACAAGCGTTCCACCAGCATAGCTCGTTGGGTCATTGTGATATGCAAGCCCAACCACCACGTCAAGGTAGCAGCTATCGGTCGGCGCAAATGTATACACACATTACCTCATCTTAACTACACCATACCGAATCTCACCATTTTGTCACTCCTCTTTTCTTTCTTCTCGTACTTTATATTTCTTTTGACTGCATTCACTTATCTTCATCCTTCACCTCACTACCTTTTTACTTGATGTGCTGATATGAGGTGTGGCAACTCGGACCGTTACGCAATAATGCCTGGTCCTATGTTGATAATGATGATGACTTACCCACCTATCACCACCGTCGTCAGAACCTAAATAGTTGGAACTACTGTACAAATAATGAATAGTAATCCATTCTTATAGAATATAACATATTACCTCAATATATACAACTCAAATTTATTCACAAAACCATCACTATAAAATTAAATCACACTTACCAAAGCATCAGTGAATATTGCGTCTACAGGATCATCCAGTAAGTGTTGAACTAACTTAAACATTAACCTAACACAATCAGGTCCTGTGTACATCTGACAATTGGTCGGTGTATCGCATACAGAATTATGATGATTCACTGAACAGACAAGATTACTATGCTCTGAGTGTAAATGACATTGTCTAGCTAATAGTACTTGACGTATTGTTAAATGAGTTGCTTGTTGTAATGCATACTGTCTTATTGTCCACTCATTGGAAACTAGAGCATTGGCAATCTGTGTAAATTAATAAAATAAACAACTTTTTTAAATGAAGAAAAAGTAGAATTAATTTTTGTGTGAATAGATTATTTTGAGGTAGTATACATCCATTATGAACTGATATCAGTTGAAGAACCATTAAAAACCTAGGAACACTGGACAGCTGAATGCTTACTGTTGAGGAGTCCGACGCTCAATGCTCTCAGACTTCCAATGGTTTCCCAGATGATATCAGTCTATGATGAATAGTACTTCAAAATTTTTAAATCTTCCTTCACCTCGAAATTTTGGTAGATCGATTGAACCAGTCAAAAAAAAAGTCTGTAAGCAAGACTTGATTGAAATGAAAGTTTGAATTGATTATCCAAGCCAACACAGATTGACTATCTTTGTTGTAGTTTAGTATATACATATCAACAACTATATGAAGACGCCACATGCCAGCCAAGTAATTCACAATAGGAAGTTCAGTGATGCTTTTGAAGTGAAGACTGAAGTGAAACAAGACCGTCTACTATCACCCATGATATTCCTGATTGTGGTCAACTCGACTGGATCATGCAGCAAACAGTGGGGAGCGAGAAGAGGGGGTACGCTGGACAGCAGAAGAGATCCTAGACGATTTGGATTTCGCCGATGACTTGTGTCGGATGTCTTGTGGCACAAACTTGAAGATCTACTGGAGAAAACCAACAAGTTGACAGAAGAGGCAGGGCGGCGAAGACAGGACTTCAAGTGAACGTAGAGAAGACAGCGGTGATGAAAATACCCAAACAACAACAACAAAACACCAATCACAATCAACGGGAAAAACTGAAGGAAGTAGTCTCTTTCACCTATGTATGCAGCATTATTTCAACTACAAGTGGCACAGACGAAGATGTCAAAGCCAGACAGGATTGGATAAGCGAGACTGCTGTTCATTAACCTAAAACCAGTGTCGAGATCTTCTGCACTCAGCATAAAGCATCAACAACATCCGGATTCCCAACATCAACTTCAGTCAAGTCAGTGCTTCTGTATCACTCAGAGACTTAGCGCGTTACCAAAGACATTTCCAACAAACTACAGACATTCATCAACAACTGCCACCTACGCTCACTCAATATTCAACACCACATAGCCAGAATAATCAGAATAAGCAACAAAGAACTCTGGCTGCCTGGCAACTATACTAACTAAACAAGGACCTATCACTCAACAAATATGCAGTGGAAGAAAGTGGAGATCGATTGGATTGGGCATACATTGAGAAGGCCGACTGGGGAACATCACGCGTCAGGCCAGACCGTCCAGTGGAACCCGCATGGGAAAAAACGAGTTGGGCGTTCCAGTTGCTGAGTGTGATATGGAGGATATTGTATCAGGAAGAAGTGAAAGCTTATGGGCATTGGTGGAGCCAGGTTCAAAAGTTTACAGAGGATAGAGTGGAATGGAGATATGCTACTGAAGCCCTATGTTCCACTAGGAACCCAAGGGACAAAAATAATAATAATAATATACATATCAAGAAATTTAAACACATGTCTAGAGAAATGTCGTTAGATGAATCCAACTTCACTGATACCTTGATTATCACCTTTACATGTGTATGTGATACATACTTACTTTGATTTCTGGTCAGTGTGTAAGCTATCTGTATTTCATTAAAATTGAGAGGAAAGGTTGTGTACTATATGTGGAATGTAATTTCATTTTAGCTGGTTTATTAGCTCTAAAGTACAGTGAAGGAATAGTATTGTTGACTGGATTACGTTTCGAATATAATTTATTCTCTATAGTCATATCAAGATAACTACACAACTTTGAGATATCGTTTATATATATAGTCTTAATTTACCCGCCCCCTTTGTGATATAGGTAGTAAGATTTTCCATATATCCGGAACAGGTGCTGAGTAGTTCCTATTGCATGAATTAGGTGTTAGTTAGATAAACCAAGATTCAATTATCAATCTCTTCCTCCACTCTGCTATGTAAGTTTTAAGGAAAATTAATAGTAATAATAATAATAATGCTAATAGTAATAGTGGCAATACTGTGAAGAAAGAATTCAAAACCTCCCAGTATTAACATACAGAGAAGGCACCTCAGAGACATTACGTAGGATTCTCAATATGGCTGACCGGCATTAGAGTGGTATTTAAACCTACAAACTCACTTCGAACTAAGCTTTGTGGGTTAAAAAATCACACTGATTCAATTAAACAGAATGAGCTTAGTTTAACAAATCCCTTGCAATGATTTCCAGGTCAAATACATAGGTGAAAGTAGTCAACCAGGGTCAGTTAGACTATTCGAGGATAAAAACCTAGCTAGCATTAAGTAGCCAAAGTTGTTAGTTAAGGCAACTGTGCGTTTAATGTTGTATTTTATGCATCTCTGCCGTTGATTGGGCCAAAGTGATCGATGTCTATTGGCATGTACGCTCCTATGCGGATGTCTTGGTATTTTTCAAACTTGATATTAAGGATGGATAGTGGCAAGCAGTGGAATTCAGGAAGTGTATTCCGTTCCATCAGCTGGTTCTGGGTCCGAGTCTTTGTGGAGGCAATATCACCCACTGGAAGTCAAGTATATCCAGCTGGTGAGTCCAAAGTAGGACGAAATGCGCGTCCTGGACTCCATCGATAGCCACTATCTATCAATAATATCAAACCTTGTGTTTTGTTTCATATTCATTGGAACAGGCAAATATCATAATAATGATTATGCAAGTCTTGATGAAATCTGACTGCTTCTTGTTTCGATTTCGATATTTTCTAGTCAATTTTTACCAAACTCTTGGGGCTTTTCATCATCTCGTATTTGATGTGACTGTGAGTTGGTGTTAGTACGTGGGTTCTAATAGTACGTGAACGAGATACTTGAACTGGATAAGAGTAATACGACTCTTCTCCCCCCACTCCCTATACTTCACTGAGCCCCGAAAATCAGAAGACAACAGATGGCCTGCGACTGCAGAACAACAATGACGACTTTAGTAGACAAATACACGGTATATATATATATATAATATATATATATATATATATATATAAAACCTCAGAAAATGAAGCCATAAATGAACCAATCCGATTTATTGTACGACTTCGAATTTATCCAATCGGGGTATCATATCAGTGCATGTATAGATCATGATCTGAAAACAATTTCTCTATTGGCCACCTTTTTGTCGCTACATGTCAATATGTTAAACTGCTCTCAATAATTTAAATAGACAAAGAATTACCAGCTGGACTCAGATAACCATGGTTCAGTAGAGTGACTGGTATTACTGATACGGAGTGAGGATTGAGGATGAAGTGAAAGTTTGAGTCACAGCTGTCTCGAATGCTCTAATTGACAATCCCAATGTGACAATCCTCCTACTTAACGCAGTTCAATTTAGATTGGGACAAGAAGACCTGGCTATCAGGGCAGTCAACCAGCGTGATTACAATGGACGGACAGTCACTTATCATCAGTTCAAATGGTAGCTGGGTAAAACTCTTGCTGAATGGAGTGAAACTAAGGCCCGGTCAACAGATGGACCATTTAACTCAGTAAAGTATCAAGTTGCTGGCTCGAGTCCCACAGTGGCCCAGTTTGTCATCTCATGTTCCATTATCACTCTATGCAAACAAAGAAGCGATAGGTAATGTATTCGAGTCTCAGTAGGAACAACGTCACTCCTCACTGGAGTACAATTACATCCAACTGACGAGTCCCAAATAGGACGAAACGTCCGTCCTGAATTTCACTATTAGCCACCAAGCAGACATCAAAAGAATAATTAACTTTATAAAATATGATGATGATGATGACGTATTTCCATGCTTGTAGTCAAACGAGGAGAATACAACGGTACATAGTGAACAAGATTAATTATTTAAATGATACTTTTTAGACTAAATAAAATCAGACAGACGTAAGGAAGATAAAATAGAAATACATACAGTCTATTCATTACTAGTTTACACAAAAATATAGACAACAGTGTTTGTAATCGGAAAGAATCTTAGTCATATGATATATGTCGGTACATAGATTGTTGGTGTTAAATTTATGCTCAAGGTTATACAATATTCAATATTTACAATAGTGAAGTAACCATTTTTTCACGATAACATATGACTTGGATAAATATTATGTATTAGGCGTTATTATCATCATTATCATGTTAATAGTGTGTGAAATAAGAAAATGGATTGGTTATTTCTTGATACTAGTAATTATTATTATCATATTATTTGTCCTTTGAGTTCCTAGTGGAACATAGGGCTTCGGTAGCACCTCGCCATTTCACTCCCTTCTATCCAGTCTTTTCAACCTGACTCCACGACTGCCCACAAGCTATCATTTCTCCTTCACATGATCTACACCATGTCACCCTCGCCTCGTACACTCATCTTGTCGCTTAACATGCCGGTTCCACTTGACAACCTGGCCTGACGTGGAGCGTGATGTTCCCTAACCATCTTCTCAGTCTATGTCCAATTCAATCCATCTCCATTTTCTTCCACTGCATATTTGTTAGGTGATAAGGTTGTTGGTTGGTTCCTTGCCAGACAGACAGCCAGCCACCAACCCAGCCAACGAGAGTTCCTTCTTGCTTATTCTTATTATTCTCACCATCTGATCTCCATCCTCACTATCCAGTGGGCATACGCGGCACCTGTTCACCTATGTCTACAGCTCCTCGGAAATGCTTTTCGTAACTCGCCAACTCTCTAAACCATCACATGGAAGCACTGTGTGCTGTGCTCTGTTCTATGATGATGCGCAGCGTTGCAGATACTTGTAATGTCCCATTGTTATACTGAATCAAATTGATGGATCTCTCTTGGCATATGAGCTCCTATGTGCATCTCGGATTCCATTACTAGTCATCATCAAGTAAATTACAACATAATGAAATCTTCAGACAGTATCCATGCCTCGGCATGTAAGCTTAGATGCCAAGAGGGATCGATACCTGAAACGTGTTACACAAGATGTGGTTGTCTTGCCTCTGTAATCGAATGGATATGCTCTGGCATAGCAAAGAGATGGATACTGAGTTCGAGTCTCACTGAGATGCAGAATGAGACACGTATCGGGTATACCACAAAGTTAATTGCAACATAGATGGATTTGTGCAGCCTCCCTTGAATATATTTTAGTCGAGATCAGTATTTTGAATAATTAACATTGACAATGAAGTATGCACAGCAATTTTTAAAGTACATCCAGAATAAATAAAATGGAAAAAATTGGTATGGGGATGAATATCTTGTTACTTGATGACGAGTGTCAACAAGCACGAAACATAGATCCAAGACTTCCTGCCAAATGCATCCAACTAACTAACATCTATCAAAGAGCATTGCGATGCTGAGCTGCCTACTCTGGTGACCATATTACAAAAAGATCAGTAGAATTCCGTCAGTACATAGGACTAGACAACATGAGGTTGGTTACCCTCCAGCGACCAATCAATGTAGATAGCTTTCTATTTGACATTCCCTTCAGTGGTAGAGCTTTCCTCTATGACGTTAAGCACAGTTTTCCTCCTTTTTACTATATCACCGATTGCAAATTATATTGTAATGAAGTAACTTTCCTTCTGAAATATCTTAAATTTCCTTCAGGAAAAAAATAGACATCACAACCAGGCTGATTTTTGGTCTAAACAATGCAAACTTCAAGGGGAATGATTTCAAAGATAAAGATAACATGAAATTTCAAAAGGAACAAAGAAAAAGCCAGACTTTTCAGATTTCAGTTCTCTGAATATCCCATCTATTTGCCTTTGAACTATGCAACTAACCGGAGGTTCTCAGATGCACAAAAACAGCAAACAACTTCTTGTTTTCTGATCTGTCTAGAAACTTGTTGAAGCATTCCTCTATGCAAGTAAAAATAAAACTGGAGATAAAATCATCAGATAACGAAAATATGTTACTCAAATAACCTCTATCAGTTTACATGATACGCGATCTCAAAATCGAAATGCACTAAGCAATGAGCCACACTTAATATGTGAGGGTAAATGATACCACCTGGTTGGCCAAACCTAGGTCCACCCATCCAAATCAACATAGGACCAGGCATTACTGCGCAGCGGTCCGAGTTATCACAACTCATATAATTACGTCAAGTAAAAAGGAAGTCACATCCAAGATGAAGATAAAAAAATTCAGTCAAAAGAAGTATAAAGTATGAAAAGAGAGAATGGAAGAATGAGAAAGTGATGAGATTCGGTATAGCGTCGTTAAAATGAGGATAATGTGTGTATACATCTGCACCACTGACATAGATTCTAAGCCATGTGAGATCACCTAGAGTCCCCAACCACTGGTTTCCCTCGTCCCGCCGACCCCAACCAACTAGTCTCCATCACCCCACATTACTCAAACCAACAGTCAAAAACTTCATACACTGGTACTGGTGCCATCTTTCAGTCTCGTCACATAGAGCCTTTCTCCAGCATGAACCTACTTCGGCCAACATTGTGTGACGAGGCAGACAGCCACTAGGCATACGTAATACATATCCCAACCAGACAGTCATCTCAGTTGATGAAGTTTCACAAACTCGTCAACTGATCCACCTCTTCTCTCCTCTTCTTCTCTCTCTTCTCTTCTCTTCTCTCTTCTCTTCTCATCTCTTCTCTTCTCTTCTCCCTGAAACTCTACACCTGACTTCTCGTTACTCACGTGGTGACACCACAGAATACGGTCTATACTATGAAGGCAACGGTGGTCAAACACCTGAAGCCAGCCTCCTCATGCCTTCCACATTCAATGGCCATCTTTCACAGCCATACAGCAGAACAGAGTGGACTGCTGTGCAGCACACGTGTCACTTAATAGACTATCGGATATCACAGTAGCACCACAGGTGGCGTTAGTTGGTTAAAGCCAACCACCCGAGCCTTCTGTATCCGTGCAGAGACTTCACCGACCACTCAGTCAGACACCAGGGCTCATCCTACCTCCCAGGTAAGTGAAGTCGTCAACATACTCAACCACTTCACTCTCTATTCTTACCTGTGGCACCGTTAAAATAGACCAATCCTGGAAGAACAATTCGCATTTGGTGATGGTGGTAAGAAACGCATGCCAAACATTCTCAAATTCCCACTCAAAGTGTTCACAAGACTGCATCTTGTCAGCGTCTTCACCTAACACGGCTATTTCATCTGCATATCTCAGGTCTAAAGAAAATTTTCCACCGATTAGGTCAACCTCTGTGTAATCAGGTAACGAGAGGGAAACCTCCATAAGAATATCTATGATAAAATTGAATAAGAATGGAGATAGTGGGTACCCTTGACGGACACCACTCGGTGAGCATAGCTCCCTGGACAACTCGCCATAGGCTCTAACATGTCCACAAGTGTTTGAGTAGAGAGTCTCCGATAAGCTGATGTACTTACTGGGCACGCCTTTCAGTGACAGACATTGTCATAAGACTTCTCGATCAACGGAGCTGAATGCCGCCTTCGGGTCGTCAAACCTCAGTAGGTGGAGCGGTATTCGAAGTCGTGGCACATTAGCTGGTACACAATATGGCTGACTCATATCTTTATCTAGGTGTATTACAAGATGGTAAGATGTTTCCGTAATTATCAAATCGAGATAATCGACATATGAGCCGTCAATTCATTCCATACTGGAAAAGATATCTATGCAGATAGTAAAACGTTTGCTTCTTACTCAGTGAATATTTTACTATACTCTTTCCAATACTAATAATTGCAAGAAGGAGAATAATAATAGCAAATAGACTTACTTCTAATGAGAAGGCAGAAACACAACTGTTATATTCTGAAAAAGGTGGATCAGACAATAAAGTACCATCCACGATAGTCATATTTGATGTTAAATTTGTATCAGGATTTAAACTGATTGGTTGATTTTGAAGTGAACAACACGAAGTTTCATCCGACTGCTGTTTTCGTAGTTGTGGTTGTTGTTCTTGTGGTTCATGTTGTTGTTGTTGGAAATGTTGATTATAACGTCTTCGATACAATTGACAATGATGATACTGATCATCGAATTGATGAATTTTAGTCTGTTGATTACTTGAATCTGTTTGTCGATTGTCAATTTGTTCAGAAGAAGATGAAGAACAAATCATTTTTACACGATCTGAACTTTTATCAATCTCATCCACTTTATCATTATCATTATCATCATCAACATCATCATCATCACCATCATATGTTAGAGAATTTTCGAAATTAGGTATATGAATCCATACACATCCACATGCTGGACACTGAGGTGAATCACCATCAATTTGTATTTCTTCTAACCCTTTTGTTTTAAAAAATAATAATAATCTAGACAAGTTAATGAATTAACGTATAGATGTGAAAAATTTCTATTAAGATACAAATTTACTAAAGTTATAAACAAGTGGAATGTTTATGGGTGGCAGCTGGCAATAGGAACCAATAATACACTATAATATGACACTATGATAAAAGTAAAGATCAATGAAAGAATAAAGGAACTTCAATCATTCAAGGAGGATTAAATTGAAGAGAGAGTATAGGCTATTCAACAAGAGATAGACATCTTAATGATGAATAAAACTAGACCATTATAAAAGATTGCAAAGGAATGTAATCAATGTTACGCAATAGGAAATGAAGCATTCACATTTAATTTACTCGATAATAACTAATTAGTTCACAAAAGAGTTAAAGTTTGTTAACTTATAGTAACACAGTAGTAAAATATGTTAGTTTTCATGTCAAACTGAATAAACCATTGTAATCAATCACCACAAGTTAAAACTCCTAAAAGATAAACAGTTCAATTATCCTTTGGTTATTTCATCTTGCACTCAGAATCTAACCATACTTAAACATAAAAAAAAGCAATAATTTATCAAGGTATAAAAAAGATGTTTGTGTGTATTGTAAGCTAAAACTAATACTACTTCATCCTTCTCCACCAATGGTATTTAATCTGATATACCAACAGTTTCCACACCCTGACATGAAGTTTAAACTTTTGGAAGTAACAGCGAGTTCAAACAGCCTCATCTTTAAATAAAGGTGGTTGTACTAAAAGCTATCCAGAATTAACTTAACAACAATGAACTCAATTACAAGCTTTTAGTTGGTTGGAGGCAATCGACAAGAAGCCCTGAATTTAAGTTTCACGCTTTTTGACACTCGTCACCAAGACGTATGTGTAACCCCCCAACGGAACTGATGTCCCCTTTGAATTTCCAACCCATGTCACCCAGTGCTGTGGTCAGTGATGTTACCACTGAGATATTCAGGCTATTCATCTGCAGTTTATTAAAACCATGACGCAAGAATTATCAGGTCAATTCACTCAGTTCGAAAACTAGTTAGTAGCATAAGACAGAGATAAAGAATCTGGCAAAGAAATTCGTTGGTTCTAGTTGTCACTCTTCACATCAATACTCAAAAAAGAAGTGGTTAGACAAAGAGTGATACTGAAGTACACAAAATTGAATGAAAGGAGAAAATAAAAACAGATAAAAACTAATGAAAATATTCCAGAATTTGAAAATGACAGAGAGTCCATACATTTGCACCATTATGACCGTCTTTCAGCCATATCGCCAAGAGTCTCTAACTGCCAGTTTTAGTTATTACAAGGATCTGAACCAGAAAGTCTACACTCACCTAAACGGCCCAGATCAATATTAAAAAACTTTATTAATTGATGCTATGCTTTAGTCTGACTGTCTTTGACCTTTAATGCAAGGCAATTCTACTTCAACAAATATCATACATAAATGTATGCAGTGGCTCGGTATGCACAATATATGTCAAAGCCACTTCAAGAGTCATTGAAGGTTCGCAACCTTATCGGTTGACTTTCCTATCCCACCTAGCACCCTACACCTAAATGTCAATATTATTCACACAGTACTATGAAAGCCCATTTGGTCAAAAACTTGTAGCCTCTTTATATCTTCTACTTTCAGCTACTATATCTTACAGCCGTATAGTGGGATATAGAGGACTGCTGTACAGTAATACTTGTTCTTTGATAGATGGTTGGATATAACATCGGTGTCAGAGGTCTCATAAGTTAGGGAATGACAAACAAGCATTTTGTTAGTGGCAGCATGCAGTAGAGTAACTATGAATAAATAGTCGTTTTCCTGTTAAAGATTTGCCTTCAACGGAATGAAAATATTGACATTTTCAGTCTATTGTCACCTTCTTACTGAAAGGATAAGTGTTTTGTACGTGTGTAGAGAAATCATCCTGATCACAGTCATTATTGCTTATTGTTGCTTCGTGTTAGTCTTTTCTATCCATCTAATTACTAGCTAGTTGGGCCTTTGAATGATTTTTTTACAGCGAATCTAAAATGACATCTTTTATCTGATGAGACAGATTGAATAGTAAACTTTGATGGAACTCAAAAGACTGATTATTTGCTTTACAGTTGAATGAACTGCAAAATATGTGGCTTATTGTCTACAGGGTAATATAATTTGGATGATTGATGATGGATAGTGGTTAGCAGTGGGATCCAGGACTTGCGTTTCGTCCCATTTGAGATTCGTCAGCTGGATGTACCTGCTTCCCAGTGAGTAATGTTGTACCCACTAGGACTAGAACGTGGAACCGATCGCTTCAAACACCAGAGTGTTATCCACTAGACCACTGGAACACGATAGCCACTTCTTGAGCGACGAGTTTAGTTTTAAAGTTGTTGCTTGTATTATTTTTCTATCTACAAACAATTTATGTTCTTTTATTAAACCTATTCGTATAAAACTCACATAGACGGTTCTTCCCTCTGCCTCTCTTTTTATCTCTAATTGGCTTTCATAATCAACTGAACATGCATTTTGAAATAAGAGGAACATAACAAATAAGTAACATTTCTAAGATAAAGATTATATGTGGATACATCTGCGCTATGGACATCGATCCACAGCCGTATCACCTAAGGTCTCAAACCACCGATTTTGGGTATTAGGCTGGTCCCAACCGGGAAGTCTACATTTCCCTATACGGCTCAAACAGACAGCCAGATACTCCAGAGACTGATGTCATGTTAGTTGGTTGGAGACAATCGGCAGGAAACCTTGGACCTAGGTTCCGTGCTTGTTGGCACTCGTCAGCAAGGAGTATCTGGAAACCCGATGGAATTGATGTTGCCTATGAATTTAGAACCCGCGTCACCTAGTGTTGTAGTCAGCGGTGTTACTGCTAGGCCATTTCCTCGCTAACCATGACACTGGGTGACGTGGGTACGAATCTTAGGTCGGACATCACTTCCGTCAAGGCTGCAGATACGCCTTACCGACGAGTGCCAACAAGCATGAAACAGAGGGTCAGGGTTTTCCTACCACTTGTCTCCAACCAACTAACATCTACCAATGTACACCACGATGCTGAACCTTTTAGCTTGATGGCCACATTGCAAATATGATTGATAGAATTCGGTCTGCAATCAGGATTAGACAATATGAAATTGATTGCTCTCCCGTGACCAATCAATGTACTGATGTCATGCTTTATTCTGACTGCCTCTCAATTTTATCTAACCTAAACCTACTCCTGCTAATATTGCGCAACATGTAATACGGTGACCAGACATGCAAAATACATGAGTTGATGGAAATTGACGGTTTTATCAACTAACTCTCTCTTTGTGCTTAAAGCTGTACACCTTACTTTTACGTTATTGACGTGGTGTCAACATGACACACGGACCATACTACAAAAACAACAGTGTGTTTCAAGTATATAAGGACAGAAACGCTTTATGTGTATACACAATGAAATGAAATAAGTATAAATTACGCATAAAATATGTAAAAAGAGATATATAAAAGGAAATGCAGAGTTAACTTAGGTAAACAATCATATTAACAACAATTATATTTATAATACATAAATAATAACATGCTGTATACGCATTAATTAGTTTGCTTTCAAAAACACAAGTTGATTACTTAGTTCATTCCTAATACTTTCTTCATCGAACACAATACCAGGCAAATATGTACTGTATTGTAGAGTAGAGTTTTCATATTCTGTAGTACGTGCATAAAGTCTTATGTACTTGCTCCTCGTCTTTCCACATGACCAACATACACAGAGCCCTGAGTGAAGACGATGCTGGTCATCTCATAAAATAACTGCCACATCTTTATATGAGTTAATGTGTTTGTCCACATCAGTTTTAATTAGAAGGTTTACAGGTATACCACTGGTTCTTTTGACAGTCTGCTAAGTTCTACGCAATACAGCATAGTCGTTTTTCAGCAATCCAGGGAAGAATAAAGGGGAACAGAAGAGGAGAACAGGCAAGACACGGGAGTTTATAAAATACAAGAGGAGAGGCTGAGTAATACTGGATACTCTCAGCTTCCTAATATAAGAAGTTAGGTGGAAAATTCTTTTGAAAATTAGTGAGATGTGGGAGGACTAGGGAAGGTCCGAAGGAAAAACACACAGAGATAAATCACACTTGTAACATTCTCTAATACTTAACCATCGACAGAAAGGGAGTCAAGAGACCTAAGCAGTCTACATAGGTTATGTTCACGTTTGAAACTAATGTTTGTAGTCTGACATTTTGAAGGATTAAGCACAAGACCATTTACGGAAGACGATCATCTAACAGTAGATAGGAAATCATTCATTTGGGAACAATCTGATAGAGAGGACACAGGTAGAGAAACTATTAGATCATAAGCATATTCGATAAAATTGATCCTAGTTGAAGATGCCAAGTCACAGAGGAAGAGAGAAGATAGGTTAAAAGGACTGCACCTTGAGAGACACCAGTCACGGTAGGCAATGAGGTGGAGGGCTTCCCTCTGTGAACGGTATGTTGTTTCTCTTCAGAGAAACAAGAAAACAGCCAGGTGATTATCCAGGACTCAGTATGAGTCCCGATTAGCTTGTGAAGCAAAAGAGGTCTTAGGACAGAATCAAATGCACACCTGACATACTTGGCATTTCTATCAAGATTACAAGCAATATTGTGATATACGACAGTTGTGGCATCCAGAGTCCCTCTATATACAAATTAATTTGGGTCTCTGAAAGCCTTCAATCAAGGTTGAAGCACAGGTATGATAAACTCCTCCATTATTTTTAAGAATGGAGAAGTAACTGCAATCGAAAGGACTTATACAGGTGGGTATCTCATGAAGAATGGCACCATTTCAAGGAATTTCACATAGTCCACTGGTATCTAACAAAGGAGAAATAGAAGTTATGCATAAGGATATCAACAACACTTTTTCCAACAGAATTATTCTGTCGTGCGAAAACGTGATTGCATCAGATTTGAGA